TACATTTGGGTTGCGTATTTTCAGGCTTGTTTTAATTGCTTTCATGTAGCACATTTCACGTTGGGAGGACTTTGATGCTAATGTTGCTAAAAGAATGGCTTCTAAACTTGGTTCAAGGAAATTGGCTAAATATGGTAAAATATCCTGCAAGGAGTGCAGGAAGAAAAAGAACTGAAATCACGGTTTCAGTCAGTTGAAGGGGATGACAGTATGGCTATATGCAAATTCTGCCGCTCTGCAACCCGTGCTCACCATTCTCATCTTGTGCAGAAGATGAGTATCGAAAAGCACAAAAGAGTTGCTCCATTTTCTTTGATGCAGTTGACTGACATTGACATTACTGTTTCTAGGCCTGTTTCTGGTTCAGTGCGTCAGGATAAACCAAAATTGGCTTGCTTTACAGCGTACCACCACAGCCATACGAGCCGTAGATGATTTAGGGTAGGTTTCTCCAACTGGTAGCCATGGGTTGCATCCAGCCCAAGAGAATATTTCATCTGGCAAGCAAACTATTGGTGGAGTGGGAGTATTTTGAAAAGGTACTCTTGCATGTTTTACAGAACTACGAGTCTCAGTAAAAAAACGCAAGGTAAATGTGGAAAACCGAGGACATTTGATCTGATTCAAGAGAAACATTTCCAGTGTTATTATTTTATTCATTGTTAGGGATACTAAATCATGTGCCTTTCACCCACACAATATAAGTTTATTCACTTTACAGTATATTGTGAAGCACTTTGAGATGTCTTGAAGATGCGATGAGGCTCTATATCAAATGCAAGGATTATTATTATATTATTATTTTAATTCACTTCATTATTTTTTTCACTTTCATTGTTTACTCTGGATTTAATGATTATTCTTGCATATATGTACAACAACAACTTGCACTTATATAGCCCCCTATTCGCATGGTAGCGTCACAGAGAGTTTAACAGTGGCGGAGCCTGACTCCGAGCCAGGGGTTGGTGGTCATAAGCACGGTCAAAGAGGACTGTGAAGATGTTCTTTGATTTGTAACTAAAATATAGTGAAATTAAGTAATATAGTCAAACAATTTAAAATATGATTCTTTCAGGTTTTGTTTCTGGGAAGGAAACTCAAAAATATTGCTTATGTGGCCCACAGCTGTTTTTCAAATCTCGCATCCAGCCCTCAGCAGCCAAAAGTTTAGACCACCATGATTTAGGGGACATCATCAGCTCAACATTTGAAAAGAATGTAAAGTTGTATCGTTCAAACTATACAGCCGTGGAGTCCTGTAGCTCAGTGGTTAGAGTACTCGCTTTGCAAGCGAGAGACCTGAGTTCAATTCCAGGCAGAGGGCGAAACCTCGGGCAAGTTTCCTTACTCCACACAGAGCCTAATAATAATCCCTCGAAAATCCCCAAACAATAATAAATTGGTCATTTTCAATCTACGACTGTTTGTGGGACATTGCTGTGCGCAATTGGCTGCCGCGTTCGCCCACAAATATACAGTCAATTCACTTTACAGTGTGTTCTGTGAAGCGCTTTGGGACGTCCTCCCGACGTGAAAAGCGCTATATCAAATGCAAGGATTATTATTATTATTATTAACAATGTCATAGCACCCTGTACGTTCTCCGATGTGGTAAAGGATATAGGTGAGTCAGAATATTCATTGGTCATTGATGAAAGCATTAACACTATCACAATCAAGCAGTTATGTGTTTCAATTCAATATTTCAGCAAACCATTACAAAAAAAAGTTTCAACCTTATTGGATATGCTTACCTTAGAGAGTGGGAGACAGCTGAAGCCATTCTGAAGCTTTGCTTTCTTAAGAGATATGCTTCAATTTTGCAAAATACATCTGAATTGGAACAGGTGGCTGTAACGTTATGGTCGGAAGAAATAATTCAGTCTGTACAAAACTTCGGGAGAACGTCTTGTTGAAGTGTGTTTGCCACTCAACACATCTCTGTGCGAACAAGGCTGTGAAGATGTTATGCAGAACTTCTTGGTTTCACATTCACAAATAGTTTTTGCACAGTACTCTTCGACGACAATAGGCTGAAATATTTAGACTTATCAACAATGTTGACCAACCAGCCTTTGAAACTATGTAACTTTCCAACACCAGGTGGCTCTCATTCTATAACTGTTGTGTCTATATCCTGCAGGAATGAACTTAAACTACACTTTCAATTCTTCATAGCATTGTTATGATGCTAAAATATATTGTGTGAAATGTACAGCGACATGACCAACAAACCTTTCCTGCAGTTTGTAATGCCTGTAATTGCAGGAATCCAAAAAAGTATACATTTTTCAAATAGGTACATTTGCTCGACTCTCTTTAGGTGTTTTTCAGATCATTGCTTGTGAGAATACTGGAGCCCAACTGCATAGTCATTTAGAAGATGTGAAAAGTGCTATATCAAATGCAAGGATTATTATTTACTTACTATTCATTTACCACTTGCTGCGATGGACCTTGGTGCACAGTTGAACATTTTGCTGGCAGAAGCTTACATTAACGAACAGAAGGCAACCATCACGTAAAACAGCTGCTCCTGAAAGCCACCAAACAGCTTCAAATGAGGCAATCTAACTACATTGCCCTCTGGAAGTCAATGTTTAGCCCCTCAGTGGTTCTTTGCTAAATAAGCCCCCATTGTCACCCATTTCGTTGCTGAAGTTATTCAAGGTGATGTGGGAAAGCTGGATAAAATGCAAAATTATATTTGTAAAGCACCTTTGAAGCTCAGAAGGACATCCCAACTGAACAGTCAGGGATTAGGACCCAAGCGGGTAGTGGGGTGGGGCGGTTGGGATCAGGGAGGGTGGAGGGCTGAAAGGGTAGGCAGGTGAAGGCACGGTCGAAGAGGAGAGTCTTGAGGTGTGCCTTGAAGGAGATAAGGGAGGGAGCGAGGCAAAGGGAATGTGGGATGAGATCCAGAGGGTGGGGGCAGAGAGGCTGAAAGTCCGACCACCAATGGTGGAGAGGTCCGGGCGGGGGACATGGAGCAGGCTAGAGCCAGCTGAGCCAAGAGGTTGATAAGGAGTTAGCAGGTTGGAGAGGCCAAGGCCGTGGAGGGCCTTGATGGTGAGAACGAGGATTTTGAACTCAATCCTCTGTAGGATGGGGAGTGTGGGTGGGATGACGGAGCTGCAGAATTCTGGATTATCTGCAGCTTGTGGAGGGAAGGCCAACAAGCTGGGAATTGGCATCGTTGAGCCTAGATGTAATGACGGCATGTGTGAGGGCACTCAGTACTATGCAATTAACTTTACTGCTTGGCAAAATAAAGACAAGAATGCCTTAAAGTTCTGGATTGAGATCCACAAATACACTGATGCAAGCGTCGAGAATATTTCTGAACCAACTTGTCGAGTTTGCTCTCACTTTGCTGGCAATGCGACTGAGCAACATGGATGCAGAAAAGGATATTCTTGGAGATGAACCTTGTCAATCAAAGCTGAGAACTCAACTTGGACAGAAAACACTGATTAGCATGTTACACATTCATTATGGGTTGAGGCTTGGAATATGCTGCGAGGATTTCCAACTAAGAAAGGACATGCTAAAGCACTTTAATACGTATAGTGCAGCAGCAGAGGAATCAGCAAGACTAATTTAGACCAAGACAATTCTCCTGGAGTAGCGATAGTGTCAGTAGTTGTTGGATTAGGAGAGCAATAGTGAATAAGCACTTACTGTATTTTTTTTTGTGTGTGTGTAAAACTTTGCTATAGCATTTAAACAGAACTGCAGTGCTTAATGTTGGTTGGTTGTCTGAGGAGTGGCACGTTTCGAGAGGCAATGGGGGGGGGGTGTTGTTTTTGTTGAAAAATCTGGCCGCCCTGTCCGTCTGGAGCGACGTTCGAGGGCCGGTCCGGGGAGATGCGGGAAGCGCCGCACTCTCGGAGGCTCCGTCGTTCGGACGAGCCGTTAAACCGAAACGACAAGAAGAAGAAGATTGCATTTACAGAGCGCCTTTCACGTCAGGAGGACGTCCCAAGGCGCTGGACAGTTGGGTCGGGACCCAACTGGGGGGGGGGGGGGGGGGAATGATCAGGGTGAGGTGAGGGGAGGGAAGGGAGGGAGCGAGGAGGGGGTAGAGAGTCGAGGGGAGCTGAAGGAAACCCCCCATTCAGGTGGAGCCGAATGATCTGATGGCACTATTTGAAAAGCCAACCCTGCACCTGCAGGTAAGCAGGGTGCGTCCTTCCGTATAATATAATAATAATAATCATAATCCTTGCATTTGATATAGCGCTTTCCAGGTCTTCTAGACGTCCCGAAGCGCTTCACAGAATAGACTGTAAGGTGAATTGACGGCATATTTGTGGGCAGCCAATTGCGAACAGCAGCGTCCGTCCCCACAAGAAACTCTCCTCTCCGTCTGGTTTGGGCACCACAAAGGGTTTAATGATGATGATGATGATGATAACAATAATCCTCGGCCTTTGACACAGCGCCTCCATCGAGACGTCTCAAAGCGCTTCCCACACACACACACACACACACCGCACCTTATAACTCCGCGTAAGAAACGCAGTAAGTTTCTTTTTTTTTCTTTTCACACCCCCAACGACAACAACAACAACCACCACAACAAATATATTTTAAAAAAGCCGATAAAACACACAAGAAATGTGCAGCTCACGTACGTACATAAAAACTCTACTCCTCGGTCGGGCGGTCGAAAGTTCCAGAAACTTCCAGGCGAGTCGCGGGCGGGCGGGCGGGGCGGGGTGGGGCGGGTCACGCCCGATTGGGCGGGTTTCTGCGGTTTTTGCGCGCTTTCGGGGCGGGTTCCTGATTTTTCACGTGTTTTTCTTTATATTTAAAAAAAACTTTTTTCCCCCCGCAAACCCTTTACACGCACTTTCTTCGAATCGGGACGCCCCGTCCGACATATATATACCAGTCCGAGTCGGCAACAGCGTGATATTGGGCCGACTTTGGGCGGGGACTTTGCGCTACAAAGCCACGCGCGGGGCGGGATGACGAGGTCGGTGTGTGTGCGCGCGCGCGCGCAGGCGCGGGAGTGAGGGCTGTGACGGAGTGCGCGCATGCGCCGACCCCCTCGCGCGCGTGAAAGCCGACCATGAGGAGCTCGCGTGCCTTTGGCGGCGGCGGTTGTTCGGTAAATAACGGTCGCTCCCCCCTCCCCCCCTCCCCCCCACCGGGGGCTCTCTCTGTGTGTGTGTGTGTGTGTGTGTGGAGGTTGAGAGTTATCCTCTAATCCCCACCACCACCGTCACGACCTGAAAGGCGTCGGTGAAATTTGCTGCGACTGTCGAGCTGTGTTTTTTTTTATCAAAAAAATATAAAACGAGGCCTCGGTGCCCTCCTGGCCTCACCCCCCCCACACCCCCCCCCCCCTCCCCGGTGCCGCGGGTCGGTAAAGGAAAGTGGGGGGAAAGAGGGCTGTCGGGAGCAGCGAGTTTCCAGAGGGCGAAGCCCGTCCGCGCAACGGTGAAGGCGGAGGGTTCGGGCCCGTGAGGCGACTCAAGTTACACCGCCCCCCCCCCCCGCCCCCCCCCGCCCCCCCCCCCCCCGCGTAAGGGACCTGTGCGGTAAAGCGTAGTGACCGTAATCCGTGGGCGAAACGCGGCGGCCCAATTGCGCGCAGCGGGCGCGGCGCGTCCCGCAAGACGGCCGTGGTCTTCGACCGACCGTTAGCTCTTATCGTGGAGTCCTGTAGCTCAGTGGTTAGAGCACTCGCTTTGCAAGCGAGACACCTGGGTTCATTTCCCGGCAGAGGGCGAAACCTCGGGCAAGTTTCCTTACTCCACACAGAGCCTAATAATAATCCCTCCCAAAACCAAAAACAATAATAAATTGGTCATTTTCAATCTACGACTGTTTGTGGGACATTGCTGTGCGCAATTGGCCGCCGCGTTCGCCCACAAATATACAGTCAATTCACTTTACAGTATATTCTGTGAAGCGCTTTGGGACGTCCTCCCGACGTGAAAAGCGCTATATCAAATGCAAGGATTATTATTATTATTATTATTATTATCGCGACCCGTCTTGTGAACGGATTTGTTAGGCCCCGGCGAGCGGTCCGCCGCCGGTCGGCCTGACGACCACCGGGTGGTGGCTGCCTTGCGCTCGTCGCTTCACGGTTGGCGATTCTTCCGCGCCGAGGCACGGGGAACGCAACCTGCTGCCTGCGGGCACTCGGCGCCTTAGGACGCCCCCTCCCCCCCCCTCCCCCAGGGCGTGAAAGGTGCTCTCTACGAACGTAACTTTTGCTGTTAAAAGTACCGCACGAGAAGTTTTGGGTGACTCAATCATCTCGGTCCACTTTGATCTCATCCTTCCAGGACACTCGCCCTCCTGTCTGCCCATCGCGGCATTCAAGCCCCTCCTTAAAAGGCGTCCCGGGGGTCCCGCTCTCTTGACGCCTCCCGCTCCGGTCGTTTTGATTACCCTCCAACTGAAGAAAACACTTCATTAAGATGTTCTGTGTCTTTCAGGACTCCGCGGGTAAAGATGAGTTTATTAGCATTCGAAGGAGAGACTTGGAGAGGCTGACGACGGAGATAATGCAGATGAAGGACTTTCTGCTTAAGACTGTTAACAGAGAATTCCTGGAGAGCTTTCAGAAATTGGAGCTCGTTGAAGCAAGTATGTTTTGGTTTTGTCGTTTCGATGATCTGTTCTCGCTCTCACTCACACTGCCTTCTCTCTCTCAACAGCCCGGACATGGAGCTGTTGCAAGAATAAACAGTGAAAATGTCTCTTGCATTTGGTCAGCGATGTTGTATTTACTCTCTCGATGCGTTCACTTCATGTCACCCACGTACTTTTTCAGCTACTACTATCTTGGGGTTCTCTTACAACCTTCAGCCATCATTTGATGATTAGCTGACACAAAATAGCCTTCTGCTGAGTGGAACGAGCCAAGATTGCTTTTGGAAGTCGAAAAAAAACACAAATCATGGGAGATAAGTTAGGAACTGCAAATGATTGTAGGATTCACGCTCATAACATGGTAATCTTTGTCTTAACCATGACTATCAGCACTCCGAGACATTACCCCACATGAAGGACTCTACATAAATGCAAGTTGTTATCAATGCTGTTTCATGTTGTGATGCAAACAACAATTTTTTTAAAATCCAATTTGTGAGTGCTGTGTTTCCTTGCTATGTTACAGATATAGAGAAGAAGGAACAGGAGAATGAACAGTTACGCTTAGATTGTGATCATTTTAAAGCTAGATTGCAAACAGCACAGGCAGACTGCCAAAGGGAAAGAGAGGTAAATGTAGTGGAACTCTAATATATAACATGCTTTATTGTAAGGCAAGTTTGCGTAATAATCATTTACTTCACCCCAAATTAAAAATGCGGGCAGAGTCTGCCAATAAGATCAATTCCCAGCTACTCAATGACATCCCTGGCCAAGAAACTGTACAAATCCATAGATACTGTTGCTGACATTGAAAATGCTGTCAACTACTCACCTGAGTTTTTAAACTCTTTGGAACCATCCTGTATGCCTCCACACAAACTTATACTAATAATCATGCTGCTGAGGAAGCTAGGTGCACCAAAGCTATGCAATGACACAAGGTTGGTGGTAAAGCAGTTGATGCCACAGGTTATAGAAGCAACTGGTTAGGCTGGTTGGTCAGTTCAAAGGGGAAGATGTATTCATTCCTCGCATCTCACTTCTCCCAAGTGACTACAACAACAACAAGATATGTATAGCGCCATTCACGTCGGGAGGAAGTCCCAAGGCGCTGGACAGTGTACAGCATTTCAGACCCGAGCTGGGGAGAGGGGAGGGGAAGGTGGGTGACCAATGGCATGGTCGAAGAGGAGCATTTTGAGGCGGGACGAAGGAGACTAAGGAGGGGACGAGGTGGAGTGATTGGGGGATGGAGTTCCAGAGGTTTGGGGCAGAGTGGCTGAAGGCTCTCCGTCAATGGTGGGGCGGGTGGGTTGGTGGACGTGGAGCAGGCCGGAGACGGCTGAGCGGAGGGAGCGGGCGGGTTGTTAGAGGGTTAGGAGATCACAGAGATAGGGTTGGGCAAGACCATTGAGGACTTTGTAGGTGAGGACCAGGATTTTGAACTAGATCCTGTGAAGGATAGGGAGCCAATAGAGTCGGGTGAGAATGGGGGAGATGGGGTCATGGAGTTTGGTGCAGGAGAGGACACAGGCTGCAGAGTTCTGGATTATCTGAGGGGTGAGGTAGTGGTGAAGTCAGGCGATGTTACGGAGGTGAGGGAAGGCAGAGTGGATCATGGCTTGGATGTGGGGAAGTAAAGACTTGATACCCGTTTGAGTTCAAAAGGCTCCAGTTCCCTGTGCAAATGTCAATCAACAAGGCACAAGGGCAGAGTTTAAAGGTTAATGGCCTTTTCTTGAAAACACTCTGCTATTCCCATGGACAATTCTATTTTGGATGCTCATGTGTGGGTTTATCCCAAAACCTGTACATCATGGCTGAAGGAAGAAAAACTGCAAATGTCGGCTACACGGAAGCCTTGCAATAACTCAAGGACCTGCCGAATCACACAATAAACCCCTTCGGTTAGTGAAGCTTCGATAAGATCTATCGTTCATGAGCTATGACCTAAACAAGCTCATCACACGTGTATGGCAGTTTTGCTTAAGGCGTTAATGGCATGTTAAATGGTTAGTGAACGGTATCACTGAAATCTACATTCCACATTCGATCCTTTGGTTGCAAGCGTAACTGCAACAGGTACAGCTAGTATAAAGTAAATAGATCTTGATAAAATGGTATGGAGAAATAGAGTAAGGAGTGGTTGGATACTCAGGTATTTATGGTTAGATTGAATAGTCTGTTTCTAAACAACAACAAAATTACATTTGTATCGTGCCTTTCACGTCGGGAGGATATCCCAAGGTGCGGGACAGTCAGTGTTTTGGACCCGAGCTGGAGGTCGGGATTGGGGAGGGTGGAGGACAAGGGGAGAATGAGGGTGATCGAAAACGCGGTCGAAGAGGAGGGCCTTGAGATGGGTCTTGAAGGAGGCAATGGAGGGTGAGGGACTGCGAGATGGAGTTCCAGAGGGTGGGGGCAGAGTGGCTGAAGGCCCACCCAGCAATGGTGGAGTGTGTGGAGTGTGTAAGGCAGGGAACGTGAAGCAGGCTGGAGCCTGCTGAGCGGAGGGCGTTTGGGAGGCCAAAAAGCAGGGAGTTTGAATAGTCAAGCCTGGATGTGTAGAGTCTATGTAAATAATAATGTGACTTAATCATCTGTTAGTAATATATTGGAGTGGTGTCGCAAAATGTCAGCTCTGAGCCTTCAAGCCCAATTGAGCCTTGTGACTACGTGACATACAGGGGATTCTCTGGCTGTAATGCTAATTTGACAAGTGCGTTTTTAACCAGTGGCTGTGAAGCAGCTAAGCTGCAAGAGCTCTCTCTTTTTAGATCTCAGTGTAACTTAAATGGGATCCATTTGAAAACTTGAAAACATTTCAGTTCTCTGGCTTATGGTTTGGTGTCCCTGCCATAATGTAATGCGGTATCTGGTTTCATTTTATGAAAGCCCTCAGTCATTGGCTACTTTCATGGAGACTGTTACCTCCAGCTGCACGCAAAGCAGTCCCTCTGTGCAACACCCAATGATTTATTTATAGGAACAGGAATAGGACAGGACATTCAGCCCTTCGAGCCTCTTAAATCATGGCTGAACTGTACCTCAACTCCTAATAAAAACCTATCCACCTCATTCTTGAAAATTTGAATGTATCCAGCAACCACAGCCTTTTGGAGGCGAATGTTCCAGATTTCCACTACCCTTTTGTGTAAAAAAAATGCTTCCTGATTTCACTCCTAAATGGCTTAGCTTTAATTTTAAGACTATGCATTTTTAAATTTAATTTTTTTTGCTCCATACATATAAACAATAAACTCAGAATTTCCGATTGGACGTTTGAAAAGTGGAATATGTTTGCACTGATCGGACTTGAGATCTCATCAGGGTTGACATTTTGCAACACTATTGTAATATGCACTAACAGAAGATTTAAGTCATATGCTGGGACAATAGAAAAGTGCGGAAATATTTGCCAAAAATTGTGGGGGGATTTTGACAGATTTTTCAGAAAATAGCGGGGGGTTCATTGATGCTATTAAAGTCCATTTTACTGCCGACCTACATTTTTTCACTATTGATAAAAGTTAAACACGAGGAAACAGCATAAATTAGATTTTTGCAAAAAAAATTAATTGCTTCTTTAACAAAAACTGGGTGGTGTTTTTTGGTGAGGGGGGGGGGTGGACACCAGCAAGGCTACAGGAGCTCACCACCTCCTGCCTCTCAGGGCCAGCACCTCACTCGCACCCAGAGAGAGAGAGACACACACAGAGAGAGACACACACTCAGAGACACAGAGAGACACACTCGGAAACAGAGAGACACTCAGAGGCACACCCACAAACACAGAGCAGAGGGAGATACAGACATACTCATACAGGAAAACCTCACAGACAACTGTTAATGGCCCAGAAGTTGGCTATTTTTCTTGTCGATAAAAGATAAATATCGGGGAAAAATTAAAAATAATCATCTGATCCAATGAAAATTGGAAAAAATAAAAATAGATTTCCACCAACACTATACTCTTAAACCTCACACAAGTCGTATCAGTTGGGGCCATACATTTCATATGATTTATGCAAAATGAGTAGTGTGAAACAAATAATACAAAATTCAATGGGAGTTGGGCAGAAGTACGACTAAGGTGATTATACAATTTATGTAGATCAGACTTATGTGAGTTTTACTAAATATAACTCATGCGTTGATGGTCAAAAATGGACTTCTAACTGAAGAAGTGAAAATGTAACTTGTTTATGAAAATATTTATTTGTAACAATTTTGTTACATTTATGCAGATTGCGCAAATAATACATTCTAATCTTGTTTTCTATCAAGGAGAAACTGGCAATAAGACTACAGTTAAATGAAGCAAGACATCAATTGCTTCAGCAAGCTGAATATTGCACAGCGATGGGTGCAGCAGTCTGCACGCTGCTCTGGAGTGTCTCCAGCAAAGAAGAGTCTGTTAAAATCATACTTGGAGGGGTAGGTGATACAATCACTGTTAATGTGGACAAATGGCACAAAGTAGATCATTTACTTTACTATGTAATGACACTAGGTTGCTTCACTGGTGTGCAGATACGTGGATCATTGAAGATAAGGTAATTGTAGATAAGGCGTTAATAAAGGTAAACAAAAGTCAGTAGTTTTATATTTGATATCGGCACGGACTAGTTGGGCCAAATAGCCAGTTTCTGCCAAATAGTCTTTAATATCCAGGATGTTCTGTAAAATGTTGTAACTATTTTGTAGACAAATGAGATGGCCACTTTGCACATAGCAATGTCCCACAAACAGCCATGAATGATCTATTTTTNGTGGGGTGTTGTTGAACACGCCTCAGGGAAATTCTGGTAGACTGAGGTTAAATCTGAACTGATCTTGGGATCATCCGTCCATTCCCACACTTTCGTGCTGAGGGGCAACTGGTTTGTGATCAAGAGCAGATTCGCTGGTTGATTTCCTCTAATTCTACCCTAAGAGAGAGTGTCATGTACCTCAGGAACTGGCAAGATTCAAGATTTGCAAATATCGCATGGTAAACAATTGGTCATTCGTTGCATGGTTGTTTGCGGCACATTGCTTTGCGCCCTCAAAGTACACAATCACTTCATTTCACTGTAATGCCTGTGAAGTGCTTTGAGATCATTCCAATATGATAAGGTGCTTTACCAAATGTAAGCATTCTTATTTTATTAATAGAATAGAATTCTTGCACACAGCATTGCTTCTGGTAAAGAAATCCAGAACAAGGGGCATAATCTTAAAATTAGAGCCAGGCCATTTAGAGGTGAAATCAGGAAGCACAAAGGGTAGTGGAAATCTAGAATTCACTCCCCTAAAAGGCTGTGGATGCTGGATCCATTTACATTTTCAAGACTGAGGTGGATGGATATTTGTTAGGTCAGGGTATCGAGGGTCACGGGGCAAAGGTGGGTAAATGGAGTTGAGGTACAGATAAGGCATGATCTAGTAGAATCTTATTAAGCATCTTACAAATGACATTTTTTATTTTTAGAGCAAAGCAGTAAAGTTTTTCAATATTGTGGGACAAACGATAGAAAGTTTTGTGAAATCTCTAGATGGCGACATCAAACAGCAACAGGACTTGAATTCGGATGAAAATCAGTTTGTTCTGGCGATGACAGGAATTGTAACAAGTAAGTGTTGGCTGGAAAAAAAAGTCCCATCAGCAATGTGCTGAACCATGTGTCAGCAATAAAAAAAAGTGAACGGATCTTGAGATGTATTTAGTGGCACAGAGCATAAGGAACAGGAAGTGATCTAGCCCCATCTGGAATAATGCATAAACAGTAAAACTCACACACGTTGTATCAGTCGGAATCATAACATTTAATATGACTTATGTCTGAGTTGCCGGCCAACTGTAGAAGTCGTATAAAATCTGATTCAATCAATTATGCGCATGCGTAATTGAATGCAGCCTGTAAGTACACATGTGGTAATTCGTCATTGCAGCCGGTAAGTGCACAGGCAGTGACTTGTTAAGACTACAATTTCCTAGATTCAATGCATCTTCACCCATCACCACATACGCACTTACCAGCAAATGCTGGAATTGCATTGAATCGCACAAAATGAAGTTCTTCTGTGCACACGTCAACGGATGGATACTACATTTCCCGCAATTCAATGCAGAAAGCAGGCAAGTAAGCACGGGTCGACGGGTAAAGATGTCATTTCCGCAATTCAAGGCCTCCAGTAAAAGAGGGAGTAATGGAGGGTACCGGAGCGGCGATACGAGTTAGGAGGTGATTAGTAGGACTAGTGCGAAGAAATATAAGTGGTTTTGATAGGAAACTGAATGGGACTTGGGTGAATGTACGATTTAGGCATTTATGAAATCTATACATACTCTACATTTATGAAAGTACAAACTTGTGCAAGTTTTATTATATTTCAGCGTACCAATTACTGTAGAGGCATCTTTGTATTTGTGACATTTCTGAAAGGGCAATTAAATTAATAGTTGAGATTTGACCCAATGGGCAAAGTGACCTTCTGTCCTGTAAATACCTATGGTAAACTACTTCCAGAGTTGCAAGGTGAGGCTACTAAAGCTGTGATTGTTCATACAGGATTCAAACACTGGGTCTAGAAGTAAATGTACAGTGAATCATCCATTTTCTGCTGAAATTTGTATGTATACTTGACATATTTATTTTTACAGGAGGATTGCAGTGATTTTTAGGAAGGGCAACAGTGGGCTTGATGAGGTCAGTTATGTGATATCCACAAGGGATGAATCATCAGCAGGGAAAGTTAATGAAGTTGTCACAGGATAGGACATATTGTGTTGATAGTTCTGTAGGTTATTCAGATACAGATCTGTGGTATTATGGTTAGTATTTCCTTTATGAGTGCTATAAAATCTGATCATTTTCACCTTTTGAATTTATATCCCTATATTCCTTTATGTGCTTTGATTTAAAAATTCTTATATGCATCTACAAATCCTTTCCTGCCCTGCTACCTCCCTAGCTCTCCGATCTGCCTGCTCCCCAACCCACTACCCACTGGCTCTGTTTGAGTAGCTCCAGCCTCCTACTTATCTTCCATGCCCTCCGTTCCTCAATCAGTGGCCGCGCTTTTAGCCATTACTCCCCAATACTCTAGACCACTCTTGTTCTATCTCTCCGCCTTGCCCCCTCCTTCCCCATCTTCAGGTCATGCCTGAAGACATTCCTCTTCGACTGTGCCTACAGTCATCTTCCCCCCCACCCCCCGACTCAGTGTCGTACTCCAACACTGTCTCAAGCCTTTTGGGACGCTATCCTGCGTAAGGGGCACTATATTTTTTTGTTTGTAAGTTAATTTACAAAATGCATAATAGGGTTGTGGCTTAGCACTGGAAGTTTAATTCTTCGCTGCAGCAGATATTTATGCAGTGGTTGGATGTGAAAATTATTTTTCTTTTGTGTGCTTTTTTTCCTGTTAATTCCAGATGTGGCTGCTGTGGCTTGTGGCCGGGAATTTCTGATTAACTCTGCTCAAGTGTTGCTGGAGACCCTGTTACAGCTACTTGCAGATATGAAGGCTGGTCTCTGCACAAAACTCAAAGTGTGAGTTTTGACATTTAGTTTGCTGATTATTATTTGCCTAAAGTCCTAAACAATCAGAAATTTGTGATTTACAAAGCAAAATCAGGGCTTTCAAAGTTCCTATTACACTGTAATGTCGCTGCTGGAGAAGCTAACAAGCTGAGTAAAATTATACTAACAACAAATTACATTTGTAGAGCGGCTTTCACATCAGGAGGATGTCCCAAGGCGCTGCACAGTCAGGGATTTGCAACCGAGCTGGGGTTGGGATTAGGAGGATTGTAGAGTAAGGGTAGGTGGGTGACCGAAGATGTGGTGGTAGAGGAGGGTCTTGAGATGGGCCTTGAAGGAGGCAAGGGAGGGGTGTAGTGGGATGACACGGTAAACTTTGAGATACTTAGGCCTCTGAATGTCAGCAGCATCTCATATAATCTTCATGAGCGGATTGCTGCTGACTGGCTTTCTATCTGCACAGGGAACTCAGGCCCCACACAGCTCAGTGATGTTGTCGGTGTCCCTGACAACCCCGAAAATGCTGGTTAGTGGCTGCAATATAACAAGCGCCAACCGAATAATTGGGCTTGGCACTCCAAGGATTGGCACCCAGTTTGCCTTCAAAGTACTGTCACTATACAGGAATTTCTGTAAAGCGCTTTGAGATGCCCTCCTACCACGAATTGCGCTGTGAAATGCAAGGATTATTATCACTGTTGTGAGGTGAGGTCTCATTTTAAGGCAGATCACTATTTATTGATTCTAGAAAAGACTATTGTTGAAAAGTAATGTTTTATCTTGCAGATTAATGCTGATGTGTCTGTACAATGTAAGCATTAACTTGAAAGGAGTGAAATATATCAGTGAGAGTTTGGGCTTCATTCCCCTCTTGTCTTGGCTTCTGGAGGGTAAGTCTATCCTGAGTTTTTTTTTCAGATGATTAATCGCAGATAGCACACAATCACAAATCTTGTTTGGTTCTTTCGTCTTGTGCCTACATGATCAAAATCAACATTGCTGTTGTGCAACCCTTTACTGAACAAAAAATCTTTTGGTACAGTGCCTTATCATGTCGGAACGATGTCTCAAAGCGCTTCACAGGACTTACTGTGAAATGCAGTGACTGTATTTGCAGGCAAACGAGGCAGCACACTATGCGCACAGCAGTGTCCCACAAACAGCTATGAAACAAGTGATTTTTTTTAAGAAGTACAGAGGTCAGCATTTGTTTCTCATTCTCCACATCATGATAGAGTATTTGATTTATTGATGTATATTTTCTGCTGATGAAAGAAAATGACTGGAGTAACTTTACTGCTTCATGTCACATACGTTGTGTCCTTAAATCCTTGCTCCATAGCACTGTGTGAAAGGCAAGCAATCAACTAACACGTGAGCTGAAGATACATTGTGCAGTATTCAGAGTTGGTTGTGCATGTGATCTCATTTCTATTTATTTCTGAATGTCTTCATTTTCTTCTTGACTTGGTTCCCCTGAACACAGTGGAATAAAATTATAAAACGATCTTTGTTTTAAATAAGAAACTTTTGATAACTACAATAAACTACAATTATTTACAAATTAAGGTTGGTAGCACTCTTGACTCTGAGTCACTACACTTTACTGTATGTCCCGTGAAACTCTTTGAGATGTCTCGACGTGATAAGATGCTATATCAAATGCAAGGATTATTATTATTGTAGTTCAAGACCCAGGTTGAGATTTCGAACTCAGTCTAGGCTGGCACTCCAATACTAGTCCCGGGGAGCGCTGCATTGTATAGGGACATATTTTTTGGATGAGTGGATTCAGGTGAATGTTAAAGATTCCATGGCAATATTTGAAAGGAGAAGTAAGTTTTTCCTGGTGTCTGACCAATAACTTCCCAGCTAAAATTGATTGTTTATTTGCTGGCTGTTTTTGAGACAGTTCTGTGTTCAAAAATGGTCTGTTGCATTTGCCCACAAAATACACTAAATTCTATGCAGCGCATTGAGAAGTCCTTCAGACAAATGCAAGAATTATTTATAATTGATACAAGGTGGCATATGACAATATCTTTTATGGGATAACAATCTTATCTTCTTTCACTCAGATTTCATTCCTTTTAGGACCTCTTCCCCAGGCAAAATCGAAAACTCACTCTGCTGTGAAAACTCACAAAATATAAAACTCGCTCACTAAGCGCTCTGGGCCACTCCCCTGAGTGGGGGACGCTATATAAATGCAAGTTGTTGCGAGAAATGTGTGCAGGGGCAAAGTTAACAGTTGCAGTAAATCCTTGTGTAACTCTCCTACATTAATTATGCTGCACGTATAGTGACAAATTAGTATATGTGCTGTGCAAATCAAGGTCGAGCAACCATGAATCATTTTGCAGCAATGTACTTCACATTTAACCCACTATGCTCATTCCTCTGCAATAATAATAGTAGGAGTTGCTCCTAATTTGCCCCACTAATTGGAACTCCATTCCACCGTCCCTTCGCCTCCCTAGCTCCTTTGCCTCCTTCAAGGCCTGTCTCAAGACCCTCCTCTTCGACCATCCCTTTGGTTACCCTCCTACCCCCACCCTCCCTGCCCTCCACCCCTCCTCACGCTATACAAATGTAATTTGTTATTGTAATAATAATAATCCTTGCATTTGATATAGCGCCTTATCACGTCATTGAGACGTCTCAAATCTTTTCACAGAATATACTGTAATATATTGTAAAGTGGATTGACTATTTTGAGGGCGAATCGTGGTAACCAATTGTGATGTGTTGAAAGCTCTCATGCAATCAAATAAATTGCCCAAGAAATGCTACTGATACTAATGACAGTATTATAAAAGCAAGCACACAATTTCATATAAAAATCTGGTAGTTCTCAAAGACCTGATCTGCAATGTGAAAGCTAAATAACCTTTCAAATTCTTCTCTCAAAGCCATTTCAGACAGGGATTTGCTGAACAATGTTTGAAGAAAAAATGCAGTGCCAATGGTATTTGCACATGTAAATAGAAATCTTTCCACCCTGAAAGTGTATTACAGATAAGCCTTTAAGTGTTGATGCAAAATCACTAATCAGCCTTACTGGGAGTAGGCTCAGATGTTCAGGACACTCATACGACGAAGAAACTGTCCCTTATCTAATCTTTTCTCAGTGGCTCAGTTCTGATTACGTCAAACTGTATGCTATCACAGTAAAGACGAGGGGAGAACACATGCAACAGATGGTACTTTTATCTGGTCACATTTTTGTACAAAGAAAAGAAGGAAAAGAATAAACACCCAGTTTATTTTTAGCAATGATTCCTTACAATAAATGAAAATATGCACGTATACATATTAAAATACATCATCCTAATTAAGCGGTTTACAACAAGAACAAATTAAATTTATATCGCGCCATTCACATTGGAAGGACATCCCAAGCTGCTGGACAGTTAAAGGTTTGCACCCAAGCTGGAGGTTGGGATCAAGAAGGGTGGAAGGTAGTGAGGATAGCGGTGGGAGTGTGGCCAAGTAACAATCAAAGAGGAAGGTCTTGAGACGGGTCTTGAAGGAGGTGAGGGAGGTGGGTGAGGCGGAAGCTTTCGGGATGGGGTTGCAGAGGGTGGGGGCAGAAAAACTGAATGACAATGGTGAGACGGTGGGGGACATTGAGTAGGCCAGTGCCCGCCGAGCGGAGGAAGCGGGAAGCTTGGTATGGTGCTAGGTCGCAGAGGAAGGGAAGTTGAGAAGCTGAGAGGAGCAAGGCCGTGGAGGGCTTTAAAAGTAAGGACGAAGATTTTAAACTCAATCCTCTGAAGGATGTGGAGCCAATGGAGCCAGGCGAGGATGGGACTGGTTGATTCATGGAGCTTGATGTGGGAGAGGAGATGTGCTGCAGAGTTCTGGCTAATCTGTGTAGTTGAGCCTGGATGGGGGGAAAAGCGGTGGCAGAGGCGGCAATGTTGCGGAGGTGGGTGAAGGCAGAATGGATCATGGCACGGATGTGGGGTTTGAAGGACAGCTGAGGGTCGAAAAGGAGGTTCCATATTGGTTTAGTCATTAGCACTGTTATACACACATCAAAAAGAAATGGTAGAGATAGTGATCATCATATGATAGCTCTCCCAATCTCTTATACCTCTATTCTACTTTATAAAATGTTTTATTGTATCAAGCTTTGGTCATGGACAGCTGTGTGATCAATCAATTCATAAATAGAAGGGCTTGTTATTTTTTATCTTAAAAAAAATTCAAGGAAGGACAGGTTGGAAATGGGTAGTAGTATGAGGTTAGAATGATCAATGGTGGGTTTTTTGAGGAGGGGTGTGATAACAGCATTTTTCAGGGGGAGTGGAACAGAGCCTGAGAAGAGAGACTTGGTTGACAGTGTTGGCCAGCATGGGGGGAGAGGAGGGGGAGTTGAGTGACCAGCAGCTGGGTGGGGAGGGAGTCGAGGCAACAGGTGGAGAATTTCATGCGGGTGATTATGGTTGAGATGGAGGAGGGAGAAATGGGGGCAAATAGAGGTTTATATGCTATTGGCATCTTCTGAGAGACATCGCATGTCTAAATCTTGCTTGTAGCTCATTTCTTTAACGTTGGAGATTATCCTCACTGCTCTCTTCTGCACTACCTTCAGAGACTGGTCAGCCTCCTTGTGTGGACTGACCAGAACACTGTTATGTGTGAGTATGTTGCTTGCTTCAAGAATCCTGTAGCTCAGTGGTTAGAGCACTCACTTTGCAAGTGAGAGACCTGGGTTCGATTCCCGGCAGGGTGAAACCTTGGGCAAGTTTCCTTACTCCACACGCCTAATAGTCCCTCAAAAAAACCCAATAATAAATTGGTCACTTCACTCCACGACTGTTTGTGGGACACTGCTGTGCGCAATTGGCTGCTGCGTTTCGCCCACAAAATATGCAGTCAATTCACTTTACAGTATATTCTGTGAAGCGATTTGAGATATCTAGAAGGTGTGAAAAGCGCTATATCAAATGCAAGGATTATTATTATTAGTGCTTATTGCTGTCTCACAGCGTGTTGGCATGAAATAACTAACTCACTACCAAATTCTTTCCTATCCTTGGAGTACATGCATTTCCTATTCTTGCTTCATATATGTATAGGAATTGCTTTTTTTTTGTTTTCAACTTCATTTACCAGTTATCAGCCGATGTTCCAATCAAGCTATCCTTGTAAGACCTTTGCTGCAATCTGTGATTCCACAGTTACTCTCAACTTGGGTGTCATCTGCAAACTGGGATCTTACACTGGGATTGTGAATCCTGACCATTAATGTATACAAGAAATTACATTTGCATTGTGCCTTTCACATTGGGTGGACATTGGGATTTGGACCCGAGCTGGGGGTTGAAATCAGGGGGGCAGGGTGGGTAGGGGCAGGAGGGTGACCAAAGGCGCAGTCGAAGAGGAGGCAAGGAATGGGTGAGCCGGAGGGACTTTGGGATTTATTTTTTTTTAGCCAGGTGTCTGACAAATGCGGAAACCCATCTGCAACCCTTTTAAGCATCACCATGCTTAAAAGTATCCAAACTGAGATTTCCATGCATCCCACTAACACATGGAAATTTCAGAGATGGATTGTTGGAATGGAATGCGCACTCTCTCCTTGAAGGGAAGCATCCTGCTTACCTAATTCCGGTAAGTATTAGGCGCAGGTTGGCAAGAGCCACGGTTAGGGGACCTTAGACTACTACTGGAGTCTAACCAAATAAAACTGTATAGCTTGCCATTTGCTGTCTGGCAAGCTTTGGCTTCCAGGGTTAACAGAAGATGAGTGAATAACTCCCTACCCGAGGTGACTGGTCTGCCTTTCCAGGGCTGTCATCAGCAGCGGACGTACCTGGCTCAGGAACCGGAATACCGAGACTGCCACAGACCCAATTCCAATTTTTTCTCTTTAGCCAGTTCTGAAGTTATATCCATGCTATTCCCATGGATACCCAATGACCTCAGTTTGTGAAGGAGTCTTTCGTGTTGTATTTTGTCAAATGCCTTTTTGAAGTCTAGATGTACTACGTCATATGGCTTCCCACAATGAGTTATCTCCTCAAAATAATTCTGAGGTTAGTCAGACATGATCTACCCTTTCTGAAACCATGTTGTCTGTCAGTTATCAAATTATTTTCAAAGAGACACTCTTCAAGTTAACTGCAGTTGTTCAGTTGAGCTCGCAGTTGTGGGTTGATGTGCGATGCCAAGGAAAGAACAAGCTAAAGAATGGGGTAGCATAACTAAATCTGAAGTACATCTTGTAATTTTGTCAGGAAGTGTATAATTTTAATTGAATGTGCCACATGAGCTGAAACAATCAATAGCAGGACATTAAATATCACATAAGTTAAATCAGTTGGGATTACACATTTAATATGATTTTTGCCCGCCTCCAACCGTACTTTACCCCGGACGCAGCCAAAACGCTCGTCTCTGCATTCGGCACCTCCTGACTGGACTTCTCAAATGTCCTCTTTGCTGGTCTCCCCAGCTCCACTATGCACAGGATCCAACTGATCCCAAACTTCGCCGCCCACATACTCATCCGTACTAAACTCTGTACCCCTGTCACACCAATTCAAGCCAAGCTCCATTGGCTCCCCATCACTGAACGGGTCAATTTCAAGATCTTTGCACTCGTTTTCAAATCCCTTCATGCCTTGGCACTTCCTTACCTCTCCGACCTGCTTAACCTACAACCCGATGCCTCTGCTCAACTAGCTCCGGCCCTCTGCATGTCCCCCGTGCCTTCCGTTCTACCATTGATGGCCACACTTTCAGCCTCTACGCCCCGAAACTCTGGAACACTCTTCCTCTATTATCCCTCTGCCTTGCCCCTTCCTTCCCCATTTTCAGGTTGCGACTGAAGACCTTCCTATTGACCTTCGTGCCTACAGTCACCTCCCCCTCCCCCTGGCTTGGAGTCGTGCTCCACCTCTGTCAAGTGCTCTGGGGCGCAACCCTGGTGAGGGCCGCTATGTAAATGCAAGTTGTTGTTATGTCGCGCTTGCATAGAGTACAAACTCCTGAACGGGACTTGGGCAGATGTACTATTTCGGCGATTATACAGATCAGATTTGTGCGAGTTTTACTGTATCAATAGGATGCCCTATTCATCTACAAAATAATTTTTTTTTTGTCAGCCGAGTGTGTGATACACGCAGAAACCCATCACCGTGCTTAGGAGTATCCAAACCAATCTGAGAATTCCATGCATCCCACCTACACGTGGAAATTCCAGAGATAGATTGTTGGAATGGAGTGCGCACTCTCTCTCTGGAATGGACGCATCCTGCTCACCTAATTCTGGCAAGTATTAGGCACAGGTTGGCAAGAACCAATACTTGGGGACCCCAGAGCGTTGGGGGTATTGCTGGAGTCTAGCCAATTAAAACTGCATAGCTTGCCATCGATATTGCTGTCTGTCAAGCTTTCCCGCTGCTTGTCCAGCTCGGACCACCTGATCTGTTAGGGCTTTGGGCAGCTTTAACAGGAGCTGAGTTGGATGACTCCCTGCCCCAGTAACTGGTCTGTCTTTCCAGGTCCTGCTAATGAGCCAGGCTGGCTGTGCTGTGCTGTCATGCTGGACTACCGTGGACTCGCCCGGCTCAGGAACCAAACTTCCGAGACCTCCAAAGAGGGCTGGCTTAATTCTGACATTCTGTTACCAGGCATGTCGCCTTGGAGCCAGTTTAGCTTTGAGATGCACCCTGCTTACCTTCCACCCAAGGAGGATAGTCACTAGTTGGTTCTGTATACTTTTCATGTCTTTTGTAGCGATAAGTGACTATACTCCCTTCCAAGGAGGATAGTCACAAACAAGAAAAGGCTGCTTGTCACAATTTTGTACCTTTGTCTGGCTTCAACTTTCTTGAATACCCTCCAGAGCCTACTTATTTCCAACGTAGCTATCAATTTCAGTTGTACCCAGTATCACTCCTCTTGAGCCTGTTCTGGTTTGCACCTCTTTCTCACGGTTACAATCGACTGGCCTAGACTGGCCCAGAACAGACAATTCACAAACTGAGATTGCTTCTTGGTCTCGTATATATGTGGCAAGCATTACCTGTAATCTCTCCGGGACTTGAGAAGTGTCAAATGTTTGAAATCCTTGGGTATTTGGGGTACTCTATGGCTTGTGTTCGCTTTCACACCAGGCTATGACTCCTGTCCTCACTTGGCTCCACTAATTCTCTTTCCCCAGCGGATCAAATTAAAAATTCTCATCCTCGCATTCAAATCATTACACAGCCTTGCCCCAACTTCTGCATCCTTAGAGAAAAAATATTTAAGTCTGTTGGCTGTTGTGGCCAAGTGGATTGAGGTCAAGGATACTGGAGGTATGGAGACTGTTATTGGTGATTGTTATAAACTTGGACAGGATTGGATAGACAAGACAATATTTTTACAGATAAGTGAAGCCTAACATTCTACACGCTTAACACAGCACAACTATACAAATCAGAGAACCAAGCTGGAATATGCCCCGGAGACGTTTGCTCGCAATTGATGTGAAACTAATTGCCTATGATCCAGTTTATTCCTCTTCTCCATCTCGAACAGTGCTGTTCCACCAAAATCTAGTTCTCTGATACAGTACTGTATTTGTTTTGAAAGATGTTTTGCCAAATTAAGGGTCACAGCCTGAAACTCTCTTCTCTGACTTCCCTCGGTATTTTGGATGCGTGCCAACAAGGCCTGGTGTTATGTGAAAGATAACAAAGCTAATGCAACAACAAATATAATGGAAAAATAATTTACATAATCGGAAGAGAAGAGAATCCAAGAAAAGGGAGCTTCTCCCTGTGCCCTAGCTAACAATCTCCCGAAATAAAATTGGTCATTCGTTTCACAGCTGTTTGTGATGTGTAAATTGGCTGCTGCGATTGCCAACAAATATATTGTCACTATACTTCAAAGTAAAATTTATTGGAAGTGTTTTGAGATGTGGAGACCTATAGCGTATTGGTTACGTAGCAATAGTAGGAATCCGGTTGTTAGTCGAATGGCGAGTTGCTTTCCAGGGGTAATAATCCCTTACAAAAANTATATATATTGGACACTCAATCCAACAAGGTTTACGGGATGCTGCAGTATGCGATTGGTCGCCACATTTTGGCCACAAGAGGCACTTTACAGTTCACTTTACAGTATATTCTGTGAAGCGCTTTGAGACATCTCAATGATGTGATAAGGCGCTATATCAAGCATTGTGGAGGACAAGTTTGCAGGGCTATGGGGAGAGCGCGGAGGAATAGGATTGATTTTCAATGAGCCGGCACAGACACGATGGGCTGAATGGCCTCCTTGTGTGCTGTATAATTCTATGATTCTATAATCAAATGTAAGTACTGAATTTATTATTGTGCCTCAACAGTGTCATAAGGTCTTAAATCAAATCCAAGGATAATTACCAGGATGGTCCAACCTTTTGGCTGCTGAGGGCCAGATTACCTATTTGAGAAACATCCCCGGCTACATAAGCAATATTTTTGTGTTTCCCTTCCAGAAACATCACATGAAATTTCCAAATTATGGAAAGAGCAGGTGGGCCAGATGAAATGGAAGGGTGGGGCAGATGAAATCAGACTGCTGGCCGGATGTTGGATCACCCTGAATTATCTATCGGAATATACAAGTATATTTTTATTTAACAAAAGTAAATACAATGGGTGCAAATAGAAACTGATTTTGAATTTTAAGTTTCTCTTTACTTAAGCAATATACTTCAAGTGGATTTAATTTAGTACTTTCTACTAATATAGGTTCGCTCACTGTGCATCTGACATACAGCTATTGTGACTTAACAAAAAGATTCAGAGATGTTTACAAAATGGGAAGTGATGCTGCTCATCCAGTATTGTGTTTTCCCACCAGATCCAGATGCAGAAGTGTGTTTACATGTTCTGCGACTCATTCAGTCTCTGATTCTTGAGCCAGAGGTTTTCTCCAAAGTGGCAACTCAGATCCGCCAATCTCTGCCTCACCGGCGCATTCTGGAACTCGCCAACAACCGTAACCCTGACCTCCGCAATACAGCAAGCGAGCTGCTGGAGGATATGAAAATGGTTAACATTGGAGTATAGCCTGCTTGATTTGTGTCCAGATCTATTTCTGAGAGTATATATTGGGGTGAGTTTTGCAGTGTTGCATTCTACATTTCATTGGACATTCACTCCATTATTATGTGAACGAGGCAACAAAATAGTTCTGTTTTGTTTTATAGAATCCAATGTGCAAAAAAAAAACAACTTGCAGTTAGTAATTCAAGTCAACCTGCTCTAAGCTATAGATATGCGGAGGTTACCTTGCAAGGGTATTGTGGATTGATGCAAGAATGCAGAGCTGTGAAATTGATGTTAAAAAGATGTGCCAACATTTTTCCTCACTACTTTTCCCTCCATTACCCACACTTGTACCTGGTTGACCACCTATAAAGTAAACTGATCACAGGATCTCGCAGTCGTTAAAAGTTTTATGAGTAAGGTGACTTGGTCACTGAGTTTCTCCCCTAGTTTTGGAGACTGCCAGTTTGTACAGAAATTTGTGTGGGATTGTGAAATGTACTGTAGTTGTATTCATTGAAACAGGTTATTGCAGCACTGCACAACTGCTGAGAGAATTTTTCAAAAGATTAAAGACGTAAGAGGTCATGTATAAATTAATGCTGTAATTAGATGTTCAACCCTAAAGGATCATACTTAAAACCAGGCTGAGATAGAAGAGCTAGAAAACGCAAATAACCCTCTAAGCAGTGTAACCATATAACAAAGATTTTTTTTGCAATGTAATGTCCTTGTACAACAACTAGAAATGCCAACTGAAAAGTTTGTATTTGCAAATGGGATACAATGCATGAGGGAAATTTGTTGTCCTGTAGAGGCTGATTAAGCATTGATGAACATTTGGTCACATAACTCATTACTCACCAGAACTGACAGCTTTAGTGTAATTTCCTTGTTGAACCTGTTTAATAAAAGGTTTCTGTGACCTGTTTGTTCCATATTTTTAATTGTGAATAGAAATTTGAGAAACAGAAACATTTTCAGCTCATTGTATCTGAAGCTGTTTTTTTNAAAAGTTATTCAAAATTAATCCCACTTTCGAGCTCTTTCCTCATATCCCTTAATGTTTCACTGATTAGGTGTTTTTCTGTCCTACCGGTGGGAGTTGCAGGCTATTTGGCCTGTAATCTGCAGTTCTTAGAGTGCTATAGACCTGCCTGGCTCAGGACAAGACTGTAGAGACCTTCACAGGAATTACTTAATTGTGATATTCCATTGCCAAGCATGTCATCTTGGAGTCAGCTCAGCTTCAAGGAAACCTGCTTACCTTCCCTCCTCTCCCATGTCTTACAGACATTTCAATACATAGAGTGATGCTGTTGCTGTCAACATTTATAGTGAATACAGACAGCCTGTAGCTGCATGAATAGCTCATTGTTTATGAATTAAACTCCGGAAACAGCTTTAATTTCAAATTATTTTGCTGATTAAGCTCATACATAATTCGTAAAATCAGACAATCAGAGATGCTTGACTTGTGCTGACAGGGACGAGTGCAGACCTTGACTGGTGTTAAAATAATGGGGTAAACATGACTGATGGAGTTTCCAGATGATGCAAATGCTGACTGGCGCAGTGTGCAGCTGCTGATCTTGACTGCTGCAGGTGCAGACCTTCACTGTTGCGGAGTTAGGCTGGTGCAGAGCGAGTCTGGTGCATTGTGGATCTGGAGCTGACTGTTAGAGTGATTTTTTGGGGGGCATCACATGTCTGACACGTACAGAAACCCACCACCGTGCGTGCTTAAGAGTGTCCAAACCAAAACGAGAATTTAATGCGTCCCACCTACACATGGAAATCCCAGAGAGAGATTGTTGGAATGGAATGCGCACTCTCTCCCTGAAGGGACGCCTCCCGCCCACCTAAATCGGAATGTATTCGGCATAGATTGAAAAGAGCCAACCCTTGGGGACCCCAGAGGGTGTGTTGAATCATAATTTTGCACTTGGGGGCATCCATCCTCGTGGTCCTGCTGGGTGACCCAGTGTTCAAGATGGTGAGTGCAGTGCAGAAGTGGAGTCCTGTAGCTCAGTGGTTAGAGCACTCGCTTTGCAAGCGAGAGACCTGAGTTCAATTCCAGGCAGAGGGCGAAACCTTGGGCAAGTTTCCTTACTCCACACAGAGCCTAATAATAATCCCTCCAAAACAAAACAATAATAAATCGGTCATTTTCAATCTACGACTGTTTGTGGGACATTGCTGTGCGCAATTGGCTGCCGCGTTCACCCACAAATATACAGTCAATTCACTTTACAGTGTGTTCTGTGAAGCGCTTTGGGACGTCCTCCCGACGTGAAAAGCGCTATATCAAATGCAAGGATTATTATTATTATTATTAGAAGTGGAGTCCTACAGCGTATTAGTTAGAGCTCTCGCCTTGCAAGTTTCTATTCCTGGGCAGGTCAAAACTTCAAATAAGTTTCCTTACTCCACACGCCTCTGTTTACCCAGCAGTAAGTAGGAACCCGATTGTCAGTCGATTTAAGCGGATGGCTTTTCCGGGGATAGTAATCCCTCAAAAAAAAATGTGGTCGCTCAATCCTCGACAGTTTTTGTGGGGATACTGCTGTGTTCAATTAGCTGACGTTAACAACAAAATACAGTCAATCCACTTCACGGTATATTCTGTCGAAGCGCTTTGAGACGTCTAAACGACGTGATAAGGCGCTATGTCAAATGTAAGGATTACTGTTATTGTGGCAGGGGATGTGAGGCGGGCCAGACAGATGGGGGACACAAGGCAGATTATAATAATAATAATAATAATCCTTGCATTTGATATAGCGCTTTTCACGTCGGGAGGACGTCCCAAAGCGCTTCACAGAACACACACTGTAAAGTGAATTGACTGTATATTTGTGGGCGAACGCGGCAGCCAATTGCGCACAGCAATGTCCCACAAACAGTCGTAGATTGAAAATGACCAATTTATTATTGTTTTGGGTTTTGGAGGGATTATTATTAGGCTCTGTGTGGAGTAAGGAAACTTGCCCAAGGTTTCGCCCTCTGCCTGGAATTGAACTCAGGTCTCTCACTTGCAAAGCGAGTGCTCTAACCACTGAGCTACAGGACTCCACGGATTGGTGCTTAATGAAGGCAGCAAGTGTTTTTTTCCCCCCCCGGTTGATTCACTGATCAGTTTTGACACTGCCCGCCTTTCCACAGACCAATATTGGGGAAAAAGTTTTGCACGGTTTAAGTTTGTAATTAGCCAAAGCTTTCATTTTTTGGTCAACAGACGTGCAACACGCAAACCCGCCCAATCGGGCGTGAAACCCCGCCCAATCGGGCGTGAAACCCCGCCCCCAATCGGGCCGCGCTGCGCTCTGGGTCAAGTGACTGCCCCTCCCCTCCTTCCCTCCTTCCCTCCCCCCGGAGCCACCTGAATCACGTGGTCCCGGCCAGCGCGTAGCGCGATTGGCAGCTCTCCGCGGGCGCTGTCGACTGACGTCAAAGCCCCGCGTCTCCACGGAGACGGGACGTCACGCGTTGCCTCGGCGACCGCGGTCCTGCGCCAGGGCGACGTCAGAGACACGTCAATGGCCCGGTGGGCTTTCCCTGTGTGTGTGTGTGTGTGTGAGAGTGTGAGCCGCTGCCCGGGCACAGAGTGAGTGAGACACTCACACACACACACACAGAGGCTGCACTGCTCTGGCCGGGCTCCAGGGCTCAGAGAGAGAGAGACACACACACACACGCACAGAGGGAGCCAAAGACCGGGCCTATCCGCGTTCGCAGCCTCGGCCTCTAGTATTGCGGTTCCCAGGCCTTCCCATTCTCACTGCCCGGACACTTCTGGGGCAGCAGGAAGCACAGCAACAACAACCAGCAGTTACATATATATATATATATATGTATATATGTATATGTGTGTGTATATGTGTATGTATTGATACACATCTCTATAGCGCCTTTCGCATCAGGAGGACCTTCCCTTTTGCTCATTGTCCTGAGCCACACGGTTCCCAGGGATTTGCTGGTGCTGAGCTCCCCCCCCCACACTCCTCCTCCTCTCCCGGTAGCGGAGCAGCGCAGCGTGAGTGGGAGCTACTTTTCCCCCCAACCCCCAACCCCCAATTCAATCCCGTGGATGAGCCATGGTCATGACCGTGTGCGAGAGGCCGTGCAGTCCGCCCCGCGCCCTGCGGGTGGGCTTTTACGACATCGAGAAGACGCTGGGGAAAGGCAACTTCGCGGTGGTGAAGCTGGCGAGGCATCGAGTGACCAAAACGCAAGTGAGTGCACGGACGAAAGGGCTTTTGGTTTCGGGTCATTTTTCGGGAGAGATGGAAATGGTGGCGGTGGGCGGGTGGTGGAGAGGTGGCGGGTGGGGGGGGGGTGGTGGAGGTTTTGGATCAGATTAAGCGACTTCCAAGGTTTTTGAAATTTTATACATTTCTAACGCAGGTTCCGACAGGGTGGTTCACAGTGTGAAGCACTTTGAGGCATTTCAACGATGTGATAAGGCACTATATCAAATCCGAGGATTATTATTATGGTTGTCCCGTGAAAGTGCTTAGCTGCTGTTCTGGGAACTTGGGATTTGGATTAATTCAGTTAAACACGCACAAGTTCACCTGAATTGTGATCTGGTTATTGTCTTTCAAAAGGTCACAGGTATTAAACATTTCTTAAAATGACACTTGCTTTTTCTCCCCCCACCCACACACAGGTTGCAATAAAAATAATTGACAAAACCAGATTGGATTCGTCTAACCTTGAGAAGATTTATAGAGAAGTGCAAATCATGAAGCTTTTGAATCATCCACACATCATCAAACTCTACCAGGTAACTTGCTTAAACTTACGCAAAGTATCCTTTATGTGCGGCGTGAGAGCAGGCGACCGAACTGAGCTTTCTGTTGAAACCAACAGAATTTCGATGCCAAAAAAAGCAACAAAGCTTTTTGTTTTAAGACTTCTTTTTAAAAGCAGAGGGAAGAAAGCGGAGTAGAATTAGTCTGGAGTCATTTTAGGCAAAGACAGCGTGTGATACGTGAATGAGGGACGTTTCATTTATTGGCCATTTATTTGGGGTTGTGAGAGGCTTTTTTGTAAATCGGATAAAGCTCTTGAACAGACTGTCTGAAGAAGAGTGGGAATGTGAGCCACTTCACACAGTGACCATGGCTTGATGTTTTGCTTACAGTATATCGGTGTATCTAGAATCAGAATCTAGCTTTACAAACCTTTCTTGGTATTTCAATTGGCAGAGGTTATAAATGAACCCGATTAATGTTTTCCCTGTTCAAACACACGACGGGAATCCTTCACGTCCTTAAATATTGGATTTTTGGTTAACTTTTTAAAGAAAAAAAACGGTTTTGCCCACAATATACTTACTCTGTGAAGCACTTTGAGATGTCTCAAAGACGTGATAAGGCGCTATATCAAAATGCAAGGATTATTTTATTATTTTCTCCATTTACCAAGCAATAGCATTCTAAAATACAAAGGTTTGTGTATTCTTTAATTTTCCTGTTACCAATTTTTTTTTAGAAAGCTGGAGTAACGAATAAATACCCTAAAGAGAATACAACTTTCAATTATGATGTAGTTAGTGCATAAGGTCAGGGTTAGATTTGGTATATAATGTCTGGGTTAGATTGGCTACCATGTTTTGCTCATAAAATACAGTCAGTCCACTTTACAGTATATCCCGTGAAGCGCTTTGAGATGTTTCGACGACGTTATAAGATGCTGTATCAAATTATTATGGGTATCATTATAGATTCAGTGTATATTATAGTAGTAATAATAAGGATTATTATTATTATAAAGCCAAGGTTAGATTCAAAGCCTAGTTCGCTTAATAATGCATGTTATTTTAATAATACATCACACCTGCTTACCTTTTAAATGTTCACATGATGGGTTAACGTGATACTATTCTGTGTAATCTGTGCAACATATCATTTAAGCACTCCCTTAATCTCCCAGCTGTATATATCCTGTGTGAAATGGTTTGCTCAAATTGTTAAGGTTATTAACGATTCAGTTGAAAACTGTCTTTTGTTATGAGGTTGTGGTTACTGTGACTGGGACAAGCGAGGTAGCACAAGCAAGATTGCAATAAATTATTATAGATGGTTAAATAGATATGATGCAGAGGATGAAAATAGTATTTAGTGGCAATAAATAGGATCTGTTTACGTAATCGAGATAAGGACTTTCACTGTGTTTTGTTTCTCAAAATTGCCCATTGAAGTTGATCTCAAAGGTAGATTAAGCCACGATAATAATTACTTGGTGAATTCACTTGCTTTGGCAGTTCACCTACGTTATCCATTCTCTTGGAAATTGAGCTGAAAACATTTTTAAATAAGATACCTTTATGAATCCATCCAACCACAGTTCTCAGTTTGCACAAATACTCTCAATGTCTAAAACATTAAAGAATTTCTGATTTAGATATTTCAGGATCTGGGGATTGTTTGTTGGAATTGAAGGCGTAGTAAGCAGGTTGTTTCTTAAGATGAACAAACTTATTAGGGATGACAGATTTAGAGAGGTTAAAGTGTATGCGTGTGTGGGGGTCAATTATAAGTGGGCGCACGGACTCCATTTTTCACAGATCAGTTAAACGAGCCTCACAAAACTCAGGTTTTTTTTGAAAGGCAGCTGCCATTGATCGAGTCCTTATGACATGCTGGCAATGCTGTCTGTGACCTTTCCCCATGAATTGTTTTCATGCCAGGCCTGACCTAATTTGTCACAAAGCCAAAGGGGATCATTGAAACTCTTTTTTTATTACTCCCCAATCCTTCATGTGAGCTGGGAACTGATGATGCCCGATAGCAATTGGCTGAGTTCCCAGAACTGTGCAGCACAGCACGCTCCGTTCGTTTGCTGCTGGAGCATATCATTTCCTGGAACCGCTCTGCTCTCCTCGCACTTCTTGGTAGCTACACATCTCACTGACGTGTTTCGGGCAGCATGCTGACGCAGGCTTGCAACTTGTTATTTCGCATTGTTGTCCATTGCGCATTTCATCAGGTGACTTACAGCAGCGATGGAGAAACGTGCCTCTCTCCTATGTAATTAACCGTCTCGAATAGTCGCAGAACACAGTGTTATCAATAATTATTTAGTATTCTCTCCGGCTCCCTCTCTCACCCCCACCCCTAAGCGTTTTCACACCTGAAAGTGCTTTCAATGTTTTACTGGTAAAACCACAGGGATTTTAAGATTACAGATGTGAAGGAAGCCATTTGTACTGAATACAACATTTTCTCACTTGTGCTCCAAGGGCAGCAATACAAAGAATAAAGCTTTCACTATCTCCCAATCTTGAAGGGGAGTTTCTCCCTGTCAACCATTCCTCCAGATAAAATTCATTCACTTCATGGCTGTTTGGTGAAAATTGACTGTTGCAAAATTGGCCGCCGCATTGGCCTACAAATACAGTCTTCCAGTAAAATCCTCTTTGAGATGTTTTGACGATGTGATAATGAGTGCTCGCAAGTGAGAGGACGTAGCTTTGATTCCAGCGCAGGGTGAAACGTTAGGCAAGTTTCTTTACTCCACACGCCTCTGTTTACCTAGCAGTAAGTAGGAACCCGTTTTTTAGTCAAATAGCAGATCGCCTTTCTGGGGGTAATAATCCTTTCAAATAAATAATAATAATAATTTAGTCATTCAATCACAACTGTTAGTGGAACAGCGCTGTGCGCAATTGCCTGTTGTGTTTTGCCCACACAATATACACTCCATTCACTTTACAGTTTATCTTGAAGACGTGATAAGGCGCTATATCAAATGGAAGGATTATTGCTGTATTGTTATCTTAAACCCAATCCCCAGAAGACAGCTCCCATTGGAGCAATGTGATATTTATAATAATCCTTACATTTGATAAGGATAGGGATTTTGAGGGGGTCGAGCAGATGTCTCAAAGCATCCCTCAGGTTTTACTATGAAGGGTAGTGACTATGTTATGTTGTAGGTGAAGTTTGCGATTCCCACGTCAGCCGAAAGTGCCCTGTCAGTTTGTGCTAAAGAAAGGGCACGATTGTGCTCTCCATTGACACTCACTGAAAGGTGGGTTAAATCTTTGGGATAAACGTCTTTCAGGTCAAGATCTCAGAGCAGAAATGGAGAGATTTTATTTGTGCCAGCCTGCACTGGATTCAGGCCCCGGTCTCCTATACTGTGTCCAAATTGCAAAACTAGAATAGTTTACAAGAAAGTTTACACTGCAACATACAGTATGTCTGAAAATTTACCTGTAAGAAATAAGCGTGGAAAACTGGATGATTAAATGTAACTTTCTCTTTCCAGGTAATGGAAACAAAAGACATGTTGTACATGGTGACGGAATATGCCCAGAATGGAGAAATGTTCGGTGAGATTTTGTTTTTTTTTATCAAACCTTGAACCTGAAACCAAATACGACAGGATTTTTTTTTATTGGAGATTTAATGGAGTCCGGCAGCGAAGTAGTAGTTTTCTTGCTTCACACATCTCTGGCAGTTTACCTAGCAGTAAATCGGAACCCAGTTGTTAGTTGATTGGCAGATCACTTTCCAGGATTATTAATCCCTTCAAAAAAATATTCCACGACTGTTTGCGCTGTGCCCAATCAGTTGCCATGTTTAGCCCACAATACAGTCAATTAACTTTACAGTATATTCAGTGAAGAGCTTTGAGATGACTCAACGACATGATGAGGCGCTATATGAAATGCAAGGATTATTATCAGTAGTAGTAGTGATACTAAGACCTTTGGTTAGTAACACTTCCTTTCTATCTCTTGTTTCAATGCAGATTACTTGTCAGCAAATGGGCCGTTGAGCGAAGCCGAGGCTCGACGGAGATTCTGTCAGATCCTGACGGCTGTGGAATATTGTCACAACCACCACATTGTGCACCGGGACCTGAAGACTGAGAATCTGCTGCTGGACGCTAATATGAACATTAAAATTGCAGGTACTGTACAGGCTAATACTCAAACGCACTGCTCAGCGCACCCTGTTGATCTGATAGACATTGGTGACTTGTATTCTAACACAGAGGGTTTGCCAAAGAATATATGGTAATATAGTGTGGAGTCCCTTAGCGTGGTGGTTAGCTCACTCGCCTCGCAAGCAAGAGGACCCAGGTTTGATTCCCGGCTGGGGCGAAACATAAGAACATAAGAATTAGGAGCAGGAGTAGGCCATTTGGCCCCTCGAACCTGCCCTGCCGTTCGATAAGATCATGGCTGATCTTCTGACCTAACTCTAATTACCTGCCCTATCCCCGTATACCCCAATCCCTCTATTTTTTTAAAAAATCTATCAGTCTCAGCCTGAGGCAAGTTTACTCCGCTGGGAACCCTTTAACCAGTGTGTTACAGGCACAAGTTCCCACTGCTGACTTTTCCCCCAGTGTGGAAATTATAATACTAAACAATAATAATCCTTGCGTTTGATACAGCACTTTTTCAGGCTATTGAGACGTCGCAAAGCGCTTCACAGAATATATTGTAAAGTGGATTGCCTGTGTATTTTGTCGGCAAATACAAAATATTTAGTCCATTTTGTGGCTGTAGTTCAGTAGCTCTTGGATTGCACCGCCCTACGTAAGTGTTTGAGTTATTGCTGGTGTGAGCCGAGGCTACGTCACTCAGTTTCTGGTTGACACCTGCTGTGTCGAAACTCTAGCTCTGAGCAGTGCCACTGAAACATGTTGGAACTGGCCTGGAACCACCAGCTGACGCATTTGCATCTTCGTTACAGATTTTGGATTTGGGAATTTTTACAAAAGTGGTGAACCTCTGTCTACTTGGTGCGGGAGCCCACCCTACGCCGCACCCGAGGTCTTTGAAGGGAAAGAGTATGAAGGACCTCATCTTGACATCTGGGTAAGAACACACACACACACACACACACACACACACACACACACACACAAAACCACCAACCACACATATTCCCATTCGGGGCGAAACCTTAAGCAAGTTTCCTTACTCCACATGCTTCTGTTTACCTCGCAGTGAGTAGGAACCCGGTTGTTAGTTGATTGGCAGATCGCTTTCCGGGAGTAATAATCCCTCCAAAAACAATAATAAGATAAAATCCCTTTTTTAAAAAAAAGGTCACTCAATCCACATTTGTTTGTGGGACAGTCCTCTGCACAATTGGCTGTCAATTTTTCCTAAAAAAATAGTCAATCTACTTGAGGTAAATCCTGTGAAGCGATTTGAGACGTCTCAACAACATGATAAGACGCTATATCAAATGCAACGATTATTATCATTAGAATCTTAAATTTGATCGGGTCCCTTCTCAATCATTTAACCAATAATATTGTTTATTAAAGCGTTCTTACTTACCTTTTTGTCGTTTTTTCAGAGTTTGGGGGTAGTGCTGTACGTTCTGGTTTGCGGATCGCTTCCGTTCGATGGTCCCACATTACCAGCTCTCAGACAAAGGGTGTTAGAGGGACGCTTTCGGATTCCATTCTACTTATCTCAAGGTACGTTTGTGACGTTTTTCAGAACGTGTTTATTCTTGACGTTTGCTCGTCCCACATCCCCTCCGTTCCGCCATTGGCGGCCGTTCTTTCAGCCCCTACGCCAGAAACTTTGGAGCTCTCTCCCTCAATCCTTGCCCCCTCCTTCCCCACTTTTAGATCACGCCTGAAGACCTTCCTCTTCAACTGCGCTTACAGTCACCTCCCACCCTCCCTCCAGTTCAGCATCAGGCACTGCAACTGTTAAGCGTTCCAAGATGCTACTCTGCGTGAAGCGAGTAATATAAATGCAAGTTGTTTGTTGTTGTTTGTCTGATTGAAGGGCAGCGAGGCAGTGGTGTTACTAGGATGGGCTTTATTACACGGAAGTTTATGGACTGGATTCAACCTCGTATTTTAAAGGCACCAAAATCTCTCCTCTTCCAACAGCTTGTGAAAACCTGATCCGCCGAATGTTGGTTGTCGACCCTACGAAGCGCGTAACAATGTCGCAAATCAAACAGCACCACTGGATGCAATCAGCCATGTCTCCCCAGGAACCATTGTCTTATTCCATCAAGGACTACAACTCAAATCTTGGAGACTACAATGAGCAAGTCCTCGGCATAATGCAGAGTCTCGGCATCAACAAACAGAAGACTATTGAGGTAAATGAGAGTTTGTTGTCTGACGTTGACTGCTGATTCAAGGTTGTGGAGTACCATAGTGTAGTGGTTAGCACACTCGCCTTGCAAACGAAAGGACGTGGGTTCGATTCCTGCGCAGGTCGAAACGTTAGGCAAGTTTGCTTACTCCACATGCCACTGTTTACCCGGCAGTAAGTAGGAAGCTGGTTGTTAATCGATCGGCGGATCATTTTCCAGGGGTTATAATCCCTTTATTAAAAAAAAATTAGTTGCTCAATCAACGTCTGTTTGTGGGACACGGCTGTGCACATTGGCTGTTGCATTTCGCCCAAAAAATCCACTTTACAATATATTCTGCAAAGTCAGAGGAGCCATCCTTCACCTGACTGTGCATGTCCAGGTAGACATTAAAAACCCTGTGAAACTATTCAAGAAGCGAGTTTCTTTCTCTCCCACTGTCCTGGACAACAATTCCCCAGATAAAATTGGTCATTCACTTTATACTTGTTTGGGGGACATTGCAGTGCGCAAATTGCCTGCCACATTCGCCTACAAAATACACAGTCACTGCAGGTTACAATAATTCCTGTGAAGCACTTTGAGTCTTCTCAACGATGTGATAAGGCGGGATGTCAAATGCAAGCATTATTATTATTATTGTGATTGTCATTCTCACTTCCTTCTTTACTGTGGCTCCAACAAAATCCATTTTTATTTTTCCAGTCATTGCAAAACAGCAGTTACAACCATTTTGCCGCAATCTATTACCTTTTGCTGGAACGAGTCCAAGAACACCGAAGTAACCAAGCAATAAGCTGCCCGACTCCTGGAGCCCAGCTACAGAAGCTAAGAAACGTGACTGAGCAAAGCCAAGCAGACGTAAGTTCTCAAATAGGATAACCCCAATGTTAATTGGTATTCATGTAGCAACCAAAATAGAAGTGACTAACTGAGTTGACAGTTGGATATGTCATAACAGCCAAGTCAGTACCTGTTTGAATTCCTCTCTTAACCTCACCCAATAATAAAATTAATTCAAATGAATTATTTCATTGACTAAATAACTAATCACATGCTTCAGATACCTGACTGACCAAAACATTAATTGGATCCCTACAACAACAACAACTTAGATTCAGAGCGCTTAACAGCCCGAGCCGGAGGGAGGGGGAGGTTACAGGAAGAACGGATGAAGAGGACAGTTTTCAGGCGTGACCCTGACGATAGGGAAGGAGGGGGCAAAGCGGGGGGATTGAGGAAGAGGATCTGAAATCTCTAGATCAGGCATGGAACATATTGTCTTTATTTTAATTGTTTTACTTTTTTTATTTTGTAGGTACCTCAGGAAGCTCTTGTGGATTTTGTGACGAACCATTACTCATCCCCTGGGGTGCTAACCCATTCCCTCCCGCATTCTGTGCTCCAGAATGAGATGGATTGTGACACCACTTGCTTCCAGGTAATCTAATTATAATAATCCTTGCATTTTATACAGCGCCTCACACATCTCACAGGATATACTGTAAAGTGCAGTGCCTATGTATTTTGTGGGTGAAATCCGGCAGCCAGTTGCGCATAGCAGTATCCCACAGACAGCCATGAAGTGAGCCTTCCACCAGACCAAACGTGTGACCTTTGCGGTAGATATTGTCTTCCTTTTGGCCACTGATGCAAAACTGGTATTTATTTTCAAGTATTTTTTATTAAACAGCCAATCGTCTCTCCAGTGGATGCTTCAGTCAAGGCTCTGCTGAAGGGTCGGTCGATGTCTCCCTGTAGCCTCCTGGAGACAGCCATCAGCGAGGAGGTGAGGATGGATCCCGAGTTGGAGGAAGAGTTGATGGGACGAAGCCAGAATTCCTCACACGTCCTGACCAACACGTGCCGACGGCACACGGTCGCTGAGGTCTCCACTCATTTCAACAGCCAGACGGCTCCATGTGAGTTTCTGAACGGGCTTATAATCAATCACAGTCTTGTAATCACAGCGCTTAAAGGGAGAGGTGCGGAGAGTAGAGGTGCCTTGATTTTGAGCCAAGTACAATTTAGCTCCAATAAGGAAACTGACTGCTACAGCAACACTAAATTGCTGAGTGTGTGAATCCTGCATCATAGTGCAAGCAAGAGCAACTAGGCTTCATTCCCTGGCAGGGTGAAACCTTAGGCAAGTTTGCTCAATCCACATGCCTCTATTTAAGTTGGAATCCAGTATTTAGTTGATTGGTGGTAAGAATCCCTCTCAAAATCCATGAATGGGTGTGGGACACTGCTGCGTGCAATTGGCTGCCACTTTTCACCACATAATTCACAGTCAATTCACTTTAACATACAATATATGCTATGAACTGCTTTGAGACTTCTACCCTCCCTGCCTTCCATCCTTCATGATCCTAACCTCCAGCTTGGGTGTAAATCCTTGACTGTCCAGTGCCTTGGAACGTCCAGCTGACGTGAAAGGCGCTGTGTAAATGTAATTTGTTGTATTTAAGCGGAAACTTAGTACACATGCGAGGAAAAAGAGAATGGAGGGGATTAAGAAGGGTTGGTCCTTTAGCAGAATTATACACTGGGTGTAGAATGCTCATACAATAATCCTTGCATTTGATGTAGCGCCTTATCGAGTCACTGAGGCATCTCAAAGCGCTTCACAGGATATACTGTAAAGTGAATTAACTGTATTTTGTGGGTGATTACGAAGGGATTGTGGGAGATCTCGTACCGAGTGTAAACCCCAGCATGGAACCAGTTTGACCGAATGTCCTGTTAACGTGCTGCAGCGTTCTAATATTTAAACCTCCTCCGTCTCCCCACTCCACAGGTATTGTCGTCACCTCATCCGCCCACCCACAGGACGGGGCCAGTTCAGATAGCTGCCTGACCTCCTGCTGCAGGGACAGCCTGCTCTCTGCGCACACCACCTATCAGACTGAGGGAGTGCTGGCGGCTAATCTAGCAGCAGCTCGCATGACTCCGCCCTTCATGTACACTGCGTCGGCCACTCCTATCCTGCAGGAACAAGGCCAGAGCGTCAGCATGGGCGGAGCTCAGCTTCCAGTCACCTTCCAGGAAGGCAGGAGAGCCTCGGACACCTCCCTAACCTCAGGTATGTCCCTAGCACATTCTCCCGTTCACAAGCTGTCTGATATAGTTAGGTAGTAGTTAGAACATTCACCTCGCAAGCGAGAGGACCCGGGTTCGATTCCCAGTCAGGCCAAAACTTTAGACAAGTTTCCTTACTCCACACGCCTCTTATTTACCTAGCAGTAAGTAGGAACCCGGTTGTTAGTCCATTGGCAGATTGCTTTGCGGGAGTAATAATCCTGTTCCCCCCAAAAACTTATATCCATGTCTGTTTGTGGGACACTGCTGTACGCAATTTTCTTCTGCATGTCACCCACAAAGTACACAATCAATCCACTTTACAGTATATCCTGTGAAGCACTTTGAGACATCTCAAATGACGTGATAAGGGGCTATATCACATGCAAGAATTATTATGACTCAGGAACCCAATGACCAACCCCACCTCATTACAGATCTCTTGACCATCCAGCGCCTTGGACGTCCTCCCGACGTGAAAGGCGCTGTGTAAATGTAATCTGTTGTTGTTGTGACTGTGACACTGAGCTCAGTGTTTTCTTTCAGGACTGAAAGCTTTCCGACATCAGCTGCGCAAAAGCCCCAGAGCCAAAGGATTCATTGGGCTGAACAAAATCAAAGGCTTTGCCCGTCAAGTGTGCCAGTCGTCCCACTCGAGAGCAGCACGGAATCGACTGGGTCACCTTCAGCTCTGCAGCCCTCAGCAGGTACAGCCCGTGATCTGATCTCCTTCCCTGCCAAAAGCTCTTTGAAAGAACCACATTTCAATGGAAATGGGCATCAGTGTCTAATGTGTCATGTTTTGTTTGAATCAGAATGTGAGGGCACTGCCTGGCACTGGGGCGGCAAATATGAATGCTTTCAATGGAACCTCGAGAGAAGCCAGGACGTTGTTGGAGGAACTGTTAGACCAGCAAAGGTGAGCTTCCAGATCTCTCGATTCATTCATTATACACTAGTGTGCGTGTGCGCGCAAGATGGGGGTGCGGGGGGAATCTGTACATCCAGATAATGTTCCTATGCGTTCCTCCCGCCTTAGTAATGAGTAGCGACTGGTGGGGTGACTGTTAACATCCTGGTTAATGGTGTAGTTCAGTGTTCCTGTTGGATAGTGTGTAACATTGGTGTCAATGTGTTTATCTTGTAGAATGCTACAACTAACTCACCAGCAGAGCCAGCAACTACTGGGGCCCTGCCTTGAGGGGTCGAGGGTAATGGAAACGTCAGCACTCACAGCTGAAAGTATGGCTCCTCACCACCAGACCAGCCCATTCCACCTGGCGGAGCTCACACATGCAAACCAGCTGGAGCTGTCGTGTAGGGCCCAGTCACAGCTGAGCAGCTTCATGGGCGCCTGCCTCTCGCCCCTATCTCCCAACGACCAACTTTTGGACTCGCAGTTACCTCAGACTTTCTCCGGTCTCCTCCAGCAAAGGCAGTTCTCCTTAGAGTCACAGAACCTCAAGCTGCTCTCAGCAGACTGTGAAATGGAGGACCTGACGGCTGTCCAGCTGGGCAAAATCGTACTGGTGAACTGACTGGGCGCCAAGTCCTTCCTTCCATGAACACTTACTGAGAATCCAGGACCTGTTAGTATTTGAAAAAATTAACAAGTCTTAAGTCTGCAGTCACCTGCAATAAGCAGCTGCAGCAAAATCGCTTTAAGAAATACGAACCGACAATACTTTTGCACTTTAGACTGATTTAAAACAGTGTAGATGTCTCTTTTTCACTTGTTGCTGTGAATTTCCGTGTGTTGTGTAAAAAAAAAAGACCAAAGAAGGAGGGCTGTCTCCCAGTGTGTGTGTGTGTGTGTGTGTGTGTATATGTGTTTTGTCAAAGCTGCAGCCCACAGTGCTGTTGGAACTGCATCAGGTCACTTTAAAACGAAACAATCCGATTTGCATTGATCAAGAACTGTTGAATCTACAAACCTGAGAGAGAGAGATAGAGAGGGTGTGAAAGAGTGTGCGAGTGGGAGAGAATGTTTTCTGTGTTATTGAAACTGATCTGACTTTTGTCTGCAAACCCGACGTGCAGCCGAGCAAGGGTTGACCGCTGCAGAAGAGATACTGTGAAAACAACGCAAATCTGCGCCGAGTATTAAATTCCCGTGTTCAAAGGAGCAAAAGTTTTACAGAGCAAACATGAAGAGAGAGGGACTGTGAGCAAGCTGCACACATAACGCTCAACACAAACTGTTTCCACTGCTTTCAAACGGGGAAGCAGCGCTGCTGAAGTATTCCAATTCACCTCTCGCCAGAATGCCAGCATTTCACAGCACTTCTCGTTGCATCGATCGAGGTTGTTACTTTCCAGGGGCACGCTTCTCATTTCAAACAAAGGAATACAGACAGTTACTAATAATATTCGTCCTTGATGCACATTGACATTTCAGGAGCGAGGATCGTAATGACTTTATCGTGAAGCATATTCACATGAAAACTCCAGGAAGGAAGCTTTTTTTGATGTCGTAGCTTTTATGCTACACAAAGAGGACATAAGCTGTGTGTTTTTAATGTTATCTGGGTCCAAATTAGGAACGAATGAACTTTTAAGGACTGTGCAATAATCTGTTCCAATTGTAAATTGTGTGAAGCGAAACCGAACACTTTTTTTAAAAAAAAATGAACTTTATTTAACTTGTCAGTAAAGTACAAACTGCTCTGAAAATCTTCCCATGTCTGCAGGAGGTTGATTCCCAGTTGTTTTTTTGTTTTTCTCTTGTTCAATTTGTTTTGCTTGTTTAGTCCTGTAGCATAGAGATTAGAGCTCCCGCCCTGCTTAAGGTTTCACCCTGCCTGGTTTGATTCCCGGGCACGGTGACACCTTAAGCAAGTTTCCTTACTCCACATGCCTCTGTTTACCTAACAGTAAACCCGGTAGTTAGTCGATTTGAGAGTCCTTTTCTGGTGGTTAATAATAATAATTTGGTCACTCAATCTACCACTGTTTTGGGGGAAACTTGTGCGCAACTGGCTTCCGCATTTTGCCCACAAAATACAGTCAATTCACTTTACAGTACATCCTGTGAAGCGCTTTGAGACATCTCAACGACGTGTTAAGGCGTTATATCAAATGCAAGATTTATTCTCATTATTAATTTATTCTCAATATAATTTTAAAAAGAGAGGCAATATAATTTGGCAGATTGTTCATGGTTAGGTGAAGAGATTTCTCTGGTCACAATCATTTCCAGGATGACAGACTGGAAGTTCACTTAAACCTTATTTCAAGTTCACGTTGTCCTTTACCAAATGCAACAGCGACCACAACAATTTTACATTTACACAGCACCTTTCATGTTAAGGTGATATCTCAAAGCACTTCATACTGGGAGCACAAGATGGGAGTGGGTGGAAGTGAGGAAGGAGGTGGTGGAGGAGGTGTGATCGAAAGCACGATCGAAAAGAAAGCTTTTAAAAAGCTTTAAAGTTAGACAGAGGCAACAAGTGGGAGGGGCATAACAGTTGAGAGATTGCCCTGGGAGTTTCACCCACAAAATACACAAACCATCCATTTTACAATGGAATTCTGTGAAGCGCATTGAGCCGTCTCAACGATGTGAAGAGGTGTTATATCAAATGCAAGGATAATTATGGCAGGGGACACAAGATGGGGCGGACAGGGTGAGGGATGTGAGGCAGGTCGGTGCTTAATGAAAGCAGCAACTGTTTTTCTCCTGGTTGATTCACACACTGTTCCTTCCAGATATCAATGTTCTAAAACTGCTGCGTAAAGTGCTCCAAGTGAAATCATTGTCACCTCAACCAAGATAGAATAACAAGGGACATGAGAACGGAGATTGCTGTATCAGTAAACAGTGATTAGTGCTTGTGAGTGCTTTTTCTCATTCTCCCTTTCGGTCAGCCGGGTGTCTGACACATGCAGAAACTCATGGTGCTTAAGAGTATCCAAACCAAGCCGAAAATTCCATGCATCCCACCTACACATGGAAATCCCAGAGATAGATTGTTGGAATGGAAAGCACAGTCTCTCCCTGGAGGGAGGTAACCTGCTTAACTAATTCCAGAAAGTATTAGACCCAGGTTGGCAACAGCCAAGGTTTGGGGACCCCAGAGTTTGTGTCGGGGTAAATGTTGGAGTCTAACCAGCTAAAACCGCATAGCTTGCCACTGAGAGCACTCCCTGGCAAGCGTTCCTATTGCTTGCCAGGTAGAACCACTCTACCCATTAGGGCTTTAGATTGCAGGGTTAACAGGAGCTGAGTGGGAGGATTCCCTGCCTCCAGTGACTGGTCTGCCGATGAGCCAGGCTGGCTGTGCTGCCATCAGCAGTGCCCGGTGATACTGTGAACCTGCTTGGCTCACAGAGGCTGACTCAATTCTGACATTAGGTTGGCAAACACGTCACCTTGGATCCAGTTCAGTTCACTTCAGTTCATTCTCCGTCTCTGGCAACAGAAGCCTTAAGAGCACAGTAATCGGGTTCTGTTTGCATTTACCCTATAGCCTTGAATTGTTTTCATACTGAGAAATATGTGGCAGAAACTCCCCTCATCCCCCGGATTGTTGCTCATTTGAGGTGAAAAGAAATCTTCAATCAGAAAAAAAAACTTTAGACCCTTAAAGTACCAACTAATTTTGAAATGCCAATGACATTGAGAAGGTTGAGGTCATCCGCTGACATTTGCAAACACAAGCACTGACACAAACAGGAAACCGAGTGGTTGAGACAGTGAAATGTTGTGTAAAAGTGTTGAAACTTAATTAGAAGGCGCTATGTTTGATTACTCTGACTAAGTTGTTAATATGTCCTGTAGCATAATGGTTAGAGCACTTGCCTCGCAAGCGAGAGGACCTGGGTATGGACAAAACCTTAGACAAGTTTCCCTATTCATATATTTCTGTTTACCTAGCAGTAGGTAGGAATCCGGTTATTAATCAATTGGCGGATCACTTTCCAGGTGTAATAATCCCTCCAAAAGATCATCCACGACTGTTTGTGGGACACTGCTGTGCGGCATTGGCTGCCACGTTTTGCCCACAAAATATACAGTCAATCCATATTACAATATATCATGAAGCGCTTTGAGACGTCTCAACGATGTAATAAGGAGCCCTGTAGCTCAATGGTTAGAGCACTTGCTCACAAGCAAGAAACCTGGGTTTGATGGCCGGCAGGGCGAAACCTTGGGCAAGTTTCCTTACTCCACACGCCTCAAGAAAAAAATAAAATAATTTGGTCACTCAATCCATGACTGTTTGTGGGCAATTGGCTGCCGCATTTCGCCCACAAATACAGTCAATTCACTTTACAGTGTATTCTGTGAAGCGCTTTGAGATGTCTAGAAGACGTGAAAAGCACTATTATCAAATGCAAGCATTATTTTATTACATATATACAGTGCTATATCAAATGCAAGGATTATTGTTATGACATGCAGGATAGTGTATAGGAACGTTCTATCAGACAAACTGCAAGCTAGGGAGATCCATTACTTTGAAGTTTGTTCTGTTCTCACAGTGACTCAGAGTTTCTGTACAGGGGCTGCAGTATCTGGACTTTTTTTTCACTCAGTTGGGAGTCTGTGATACACTGTGAAACATTTTGCTCTGAGCCTTTAAGCCAGACTGAGGGTTGGTTTCGGGATTTTAACCAACTGAAACCACGCTCAAGCATTGTCTGGCAAACTTCCAGCTTGTCTAGCTAGGACCACCCTACCCATTAGGGCTTTGGCTTGTAGATTTAACAGGAGCTGAGTGAGATGACTCCCTGCCCCCAGTGACTAGTCTGCCCTTTCAGGTCCTGCCTATTAGCCAGGCTGGGTTGGGCTGTCATTTGCAGTGCCCTGGATTACTGCGGACCCGCCTGGCTCAGGAACAGGATTAAAGACGGTCACAGAGGGCTGGCTTGATTCTGACATTCTGTTGTCAACCATGTCACCTTGGGGCCAGTTCAGCCTCGAGGAGTCCCCGCTTCCCCCCCATCGCCCCACCCCCGGAGGAGAGTCACTAGTTGGTCATTTGACAACCGACAAGTCCTCAATTTGAGTGATCACTAGGTGGACAGTAGGTACCAGGAACTCCCTGCAAGGTTCCCGGTGAGGAACACAGCTCAGCATGAAACACGTGAGACCATTACCACCATCTTCCTGTCCACAGCTTAGACGCATCCCTTCCCATTGAGCGACGGTTCCACCAGTTGGAGGTTCAGAGTTAAAGCATCAGTTGCTTACCTCTGCAAACCAAACAAAGTGGTTTCCAGGCACTGGATGTACGAATGTGTGTTCACAAACTCGGACTCCAGGTAACGCCTTCCAGCAGCTGTCGCCACAAGCCTGAGTTTCCTCAACAGCTATAATAATAATAATATTGCTTGCATTTGATACCGTGCCTTATAGTGTCGTTGAGACGTGTCAAAGAATTTTATTGTGAAGCTTAGTGACTGTGTATTTTGTCAGCAAACACTGCAGCCTTCTTGCGCACAACAGTGTTCACAAACAGGCTTGGAGCGAACGATCAACCTTATATGGAGGATTGAAATAAAAGCAGAAGTCGCTGGGAACACGCAGCAGGTCAGGCAACATCAATTTCAGGTCGATGACCTTTCGTCAGAACTGGAGGATGTTGGAAGGGAGCAGTTTATAAAGACAAGCATAGAAGGGGACGGGGGAAAAAAAGACAAAGGAAAAATTTAGGTGGAGGATAGGAGATGATGAGATCAGACGTGTTGATGGTGCGAGGCAAAAGAAGTCTATAGTAGAGATTATAGGAGGAAGAGATGTGTTTAAGACCCAGAGGATGTGTGAATAGTTCTAGAAGAGGGGAGAGGGAGGCATGGCTGAGAGAAGATGGGAGCTACGTTTTAGGTCTGAAGTGATTAAAATCAATATTGATGCCAGAGGGCTGTAAGGTGCCTAGGAAGTAGATGAAGTGCTGTTCCCCGAGTTTGCACTGTGCTTCGTTCAAGCAGCCACGGACAGAGAGGTTAGAGTAGGAGGTCAGAGAGGTTCCCCCCGCCCCCATCCACCTAACGGTGAGGTTAACCTCAGTTTAATTTCTCACACAAAGGACAGTGTGATACAAAGGACAATGCTGCGTTTCCCAGCGCACCACTGAAATGTCAACTGAGATTATGAGCTCATAGTCCTGACGTGGGATTGAACCCACAGCCTTCTGACTCAGCGATGAGAGTGATACCAGCATAGTCAAACTGTTTCTCTCTCCTCTCTCTCTCTTCCTCTCGCTCTCAGTCAGTCTTTGACCTTTGTCAGTGTATTTCTGTACATCCGTCCATCTGTCTGCCTTTGCCTGGAGACCTTAGACTGCCTCTCTCTCTCTCTCTCTATTGGAATATCTCTGGCTGCTTGTGTGTGTGTCTCTCTCTTTTTGGGGCTTAACCAATTGCTAAGACTGACAATGGTTTCATTTTGCTTGACGTATAGCATGACTTACATGTGTATATTCTGCAGGCGTTTCGCCCCCAAAATAATAATAATAATGCTTGCATTTTGATATATAAAACAGTCAATCCACTTTACTGCATATTCTGTGAAACACTGTAGGACGTCTTAACAACGTGATCAGGTACAATATCAAATGCAAGGATAATTATTATGATTATTTTAGGACAATGGTTGGGAGGGAAATAAAAGCTCCCTAAATGAAGCTCCCTAATGAGAAGAGTAAGGGGAGAGTTAAAGGAAGAGCCAGGAGCTGCGTAGAAACTTGTGAATGAAGAACTGGCAGATACGTATTTTGCCTGAATTGTTACAGAGGATGGTGGAGGCGAGAGTGTGGGAGTAACAGAGGGTGTGAAAGAGCATCAGTCAGAGCTACGTATTACTGGGAAACTATCAGAAAGTTCACAACACTTGTAATAACAATCCTTGCATTTGATATGGCATCTTATCACATCGTTGAGACATCTCAAAACGCTTCACAGAATATATTGTAAAGTGAATTGACTGTATATTTTGGGGACGAAACGCGGCAACTAATTGCGCACAGCATTGTCCCACAAACAGTCCTGGATCGAGTGACCACTCTATTTATTTTGGAGGGATTATTACCCCTGGAAAGTGATCCGCCAATCGACTAACAACTGGATTCCTGCTTACTGCTAGGTAAACAGAGGTGTGTGGAGTATGGAAACTTGCCTAATGCTTCGCCCTGCTCGGGCGCATGACATGCGAGGCAAGTGCTCTAATCACTCAACTACAGGACTCAACATTTCACATCAGGAAGATATCTCCAAGTGATATAGTGCAAAGGGTGATGACTGTATTTTTTGTAGGTGAACAATGAGCGCCACCTTGTGTTAGAGATGTCTTCATACACTGCAATATTATTAACGACCGGAGGGTGGGTCAGCCTGCCTCGAAGTAGCGCTCTCGCCTCTGACACGGACTCTCTTCAATCATGCCTTCAGCTCCCCTCTCGAATCTCTACCCCCTCCTCGCTCCTTCCCTTCCCTCCCCTCACCCTGACCATTTCCCCCCTGCTCGGGTCCCGACCCAACCGTCCAGCGCCTTGGGACGTCCTCCCGACGTGAAAGGCGCTCTATAAATGCAATCTTGTTGTTGTTGTTGATGAGTCAGAAGGTTGTGGACATCAGGACTTAGAATCACATGGTCTAAGCTGACACTCCAATGCAGTGGTGGGGGGTGGTGGGGGACGGTGGGGGTTGTATTGTCAGTGGAGCCGTCCTTCGGATGAGAAGTTAAACCAAGGTCCCGTTTGTCTCTTCGGGTGGATGTTAAAAGTCCCCATGGCACGATTTAAAAAGAGAAGAGAGTTTCTCTCTCCCGGTGTCCTGGCCAACAACCCCCCAAATAAAATCGCTCCACGACTGTTTGTTTGACATTCCTGCGCTCAAACTGGCTGCCGGGTTTCGCCCACAAAATACACAGCCAATCCACTTTACAGTATATTGTGTGAAGTGCTTTAAGGGTCTCAATGATGTGATAAAGCCTATATGCAAGGATTAATATTAGTAGTATATTAGTAGTATCTGTCTTAACAAGTGAAAATACAGTATTATAGCGGCTAGTGCATAATGTGAGGAGAGATTGCATACCTCTGAGAGTATGGTGATAACAACACTGTAATTAATCATTGCATATCTTGTGCTCTCAAGGAGGAATAGGATTAGAGGCAAAGACAAAATGGAGATGAATGCAAAAAGATTGTTTGAATTTAACACTTTAAATGTACCCTGTCGGGGGAACTGTCTGAGAGAAGTGACTGAGCCCAACGGAGAGCTGGCGTAACATCATTAGCCACACAGTCAGTGGCCCAGGGGTGTATCACAAGAACATCGGGACAGGCGTAGACCATTCAACCCCTCGAGTCTGTTCCGCCATTGTATTCCATGGCTGATCTGTACCTCAACTCCCTTTACCTACCTTTGCTCCATATCCTTTGATATCCTGACCTAACCAACATCTCTCCACCTCAGTCTTGAAAATTGAATGGATTCAGTATCAACAGCCTTTTGGGGAAGAGAGTTCCAGATTTCCACTTGCCTTTGGGTAAAAAGCTGCCTCCTGATTTCACTCCTAAATGGCCTCGCTCTAATTTTAAGATGATGCCCCCCCTTGTTCTGGATTCCCCCACTAGAGGAAATTGTTTCTCTGTAGCTACCCTATCAAATCCTTTTATCATTTTAAACCCCTCATTCAGATCACCTATCAACCTCAAAGGATAATCTAATCGAGGTTCTTTTTTAAAAAAAAAGGAATTTTTGCTCAGAAAATTCATAGTCAATTCACTTTACAATATATCTTTGAGATGTCTCAAAGAAGCGATAAGGTGCCATTTAAATGCAAGGATTATTATTACTATTATTGTTAACCTTCTAAACGCAAGTGATGTCAGTCAGGCATTTAACACAGAGACCATCTAATTACGTCAATCCAATGACGATAGTGAGACGTTCGTCATCGGGCAGCTAACCGTGCGTTAATCCTCCTGATGTGTCAGGCTTATCCTGTGACCTCTTTCAATTATTTTAGTAACCTCTCCTCAGGGGGTTCTCGTTTGAAGCTGCAGCTGTGTTCAATTGGCTTCGCTGAAGGTCTTTGCTGTGTTGTATTAATAATAACATATACACTAATCCTTGCATTTGATATAGCGCCTTATCACTTCTTCATGACATCTCAATGCATTTCATAGGATATCGTGTAAAGTGAATTGACTGTATATTTTGTGGGCGAAACGTGGCAGCGTGTCCCACAAACAGTCATGGATTGAGTGAACAAATTATTACCATTATTTGAAAATATTTTTGAAGGGATTATTACCTACTCAATGCTACGTAAACAGAGGCGTGTGGAGTAAGGAAACTTGCCCAACATTTCGCCCTGCCCAGGAATCAAACCCAGGTCCTCTCGTTTGCGAGGCGAGTACTCGAACTCCACTGCTGATGACAGCACAGCCCAGCCTGGCTCACTGCCAGGACTTGGAAGGGCAGACCAGTCACTGGGAGCAGGGAATTATCGCACTCAGCTCCTTAATCCTGCAAGCCAAAGCCCTAGCGGGCAGAGTGGTCCTAGAAGGACAAGCAGTGAGAAAGCTCAGCGGTGCTCTCAATGGCAAGTTATGTGGTTTTAACTGGTTAGACTTCAGCAGTCACTTTGGGGTCCCCAAGCCTTGGCTCTTGCCAACCTGCACCTGATACTCTCCCGAATTAGGTAAGCAGGATGCCTCCCTCCAGGGAGAGAGAGAATTTGCATTCCATTCCAACAACGTGATCTTAAAGCATAGTGATGGGTTTCCGCATGTGTCAGACACCCGGGCGACGCAAACAAAATAATATTGCATTGAAACAACAGTTTGTTCATTTTTAAACCTTTATTGGACATTATTAATGCAGCAGTCATCCTGCTCGATACCAGCGCAATAAGAGTCTACATTAGAGTCAAAGCAAAGAGAAGGAAGAGTGGGATACACATAGCGTGGAGCCGAACCTCTGATAGGGTCACAACTCTAAGGTTCTCCACACACAAGGGCCTTAGAGAAGAAATGGCGACTGGTTGGAAAAATTGCAATTAATTGTCTTTTATTTTAGCTGTGTGAGGTGTCACGCCACCTGAGGGTGTCTCCCCTCAGATGTCAATTGCACCTCCTCAAACCCACCTTTACAGCTCAATCACAGGAACATAGGAACAGGAGTAGGCCAGTCAGCCCCTCGAGCCTGTTCTGCCAATTCTATAAGATCAATAATTAATCAATAATTTTTTTTTTAATCATCGTTCACTCAGAAGCCTTGATTATCTGTGTTCAGCCCCGACCCTATTAAAAATAAAACCCACAAGTGAAAGAGACTGAGCTAGATGCGCTGATATCTCTGGTACGTGGCTATGAGCTAATTGGGGTGTGTGTGTGTGTGTGTGTGTGTGTGTAGCCCCCGAACCAATCTCTACCGCGGTGTCTAGGATGAAGGGGAGGTGGTGGGTTTCTCCTCCCGGGTCACGGGGATGGGGCGGTCCTGACGGCTGGAGTCGCCTCCCAATTGGTTCTTTGGGCAGCAGAGTGTCAGTATTCCATCGGGAGACAGGGAGCAGACGAATGCCGATTGCTCCAGGTTGCTTGGCATGCGGTATCTCCGGTGGAACTCGCGGGAAATGTAGCCGTGGTCGTCCTGCGGGGAGAAGGAGGTGCGATCGCAATTATTCATACCGACCTTATCCGCTGCCTTCCTCTGTGGACCGTGCCTTCGGTCACCCTCCTACCCCTTACCTTCCTTGCCCTCCACACCCTCCTGATCCCAACTCCCAGCTCGGACCCAAATCCTGGTCTGTCTGACCAGCGCCTTGGAGGGTCCTCCTGACGTGAAAGGCGCTGCACACGTGTAATTTGCTGTTGTTGTTATTTATTCACAATAGCAACTTTTCCCCCATATTTTTTTCAGTCTCACAGACGGTGAAATGGACCCGGGAACAGAGTGTGCGGTGAGCAGAGGGCAGTGCTGTGAAGGCGGTATTATAATGGTCGGCCATCGTATCTGAAAATGGCCATTCAGACAATGTGAACACCCGGGTGCGCGAATGCGTTTATCGCGTAAAAGCTGCTGCCCGGACAGCAGCCGCACTCAGAGGTAGCAAACAGTGTAACGTGGCGTGAAGGAATTCTAAAATCTTACAGCCCTGAAGGTAGCCACTCGTTGTATACTAACCTCCAGTCCGAAAAGCAACCGTTCACCACAATGCTCTGCTTTCTGTCTCCCAGCCAATTTTGGATCCATGTTGCCACTGTTCCCTTAATCCCGTGGGATTCAATTTTGCTAACAAGTTCTATTACGTGGCACAATGTCCCGGAATATCCCAGAATATGCCAGAAGACCGGACCGCTTGTCAAAGTGGGGTTTAGTGAGCCGCCGCTTGACGAGGCAACCACGGTTGACGATCACTAATTGGTTTGGGGGGGGTGGACATGAACAGTCACCGTTGGTGTGTGTGTGTGTGTCTGGGCGGGGGGTAGGGGAGATTGTGTTTCGTGTGGGGGATGGCGTGGCTGAGTCATGTTTTGTGTGGGGGGGTGTGGCACAGTGGGTTGGGGAGGAATCGTGGCTGGTTTTGGAGTCAGGATTGGTGCCAGCGGTCATGATTAGTGGTGGGGTGGGGGTTGTCACTGTTGGTGCGGGGGCGAGTTGCAATGGAGGTCACGGTTTGTTTCGGTGTGTGGCGCTTGGCATTAGGGGTCGCAGTTGCCGTCATGGTGGCGGGGGGGAGAGCAGTTGGATTTGTCGTCCCAGAGTGCGCTATGTGTTACGATACACCAGGAGGTGATGCCCTCCTACCCCTACTCCCTCACCCATTGATGGCTTTGGGGAAACTCCAATGAAGACGGAACGAAATAACAAACTTCACAAAATTTGGAAACAGAAGATCAGTCCGAGGCGAACTCCCCAGCCATCAACTCAGGGCAGAGGCCTGTGTGGGTGGGTTATCATCCGCTCCCCACCTCCTCACACACGTACGCGCGCGCACATACACACACACACACACTGCTGGACTCAGACAGCAGAAACAACGAGACCCAATAAAGGAAGGGATAGCTGGTACCTGTCTGTCTCCGTGTTTCCCGTGGATCTCCACAAAGTCATCGACAATCTTCACACTCAGCTCATCTGGTGAGAAGTGCTTCACGTCCAGGCTGATCAGGAATCTGTCCTTGTCTGAGCGAACCTACAACATACCAGTCACAGACCTGAAACTCACAACCTCGAGGCAGCCAACGGTCCCGCCATTGCTCCCCTTCTGCTAATAATAACAATAATAATCCTTGCATTCAATTAACACATCGTTAAGACGTCTCAATGAGCTTCACAGAATATAAGAACTTAAGAATTGCTGGACGAAAGAAGGCCAAGGTCCGTCCTGTTCTCCTTCCACCTTCCTGGCAGTCGCACGCACATGTTATGTCATATATTGTGAAATGGATTGACTGTATTTTGGGGGCAAGAGAATGCAGGCAATTGCACACAGCAGTGTTCCACAAACATTTGTGGTTTGAGTGGCCTTTTTTGAGGTGTCATTACCCCTGGAAAGCAATCTGCCAATGGAGTAACAAACGGATTCCTACTTACTGCAAGGTAAACAGAGGCATGTTGAGTAAGGAAACTTGCCTAAGATTTCGCCCCACCTGGGAATCCAACCCAGGTCCTCTCACTTGCAAGGCGAACCCGCTAACTACTATGCTATGGTTACTGCAGATAACTGTGGGAAAAGATTCAAAGCAATCATTTCAATCAGAAGTGTGGATGGACAGCGTAGAGGGAGCTTTACTCTGTCTCTAACCGGTGGTGTCACTGACTTGGAAATGTGGACAGACGGCGGAGGGAGTTTGATGGATCATTTACGGAACTGAGACACAAGGAAAGGTATAGTGTAGACCTGGGGATTCGGTAACTAGAGGGAGAGATGACCTATTTGCAGTGGTGACCAGGAGCTGTGAGCAGGTGTCTGCCACATTCCAGGGACAGAGTGGAGTGATTGGAAAAACTACTGTAATAGAGGCAGAGGCAAAAACAGGCAGAGGTGGCACTTTGTGCAGGAATTACTGGGAAGACGGGAAAGTACATGGCTGGGCAAATGGCAACTGCGTTGGCCAACAAAAGCAGTCAGTTGGTTTGGTACTAATGACTTATGAAACACTCCGACATTTCAATGTGAGAACCATGCATAAAAATGCAAGATCTTCTGCGGATAGGGTGGTCCGAGCTGGACAAGCAGCGGGAAAGCTTGCCAAACAGTGCTCTCAATGACAAGCTATGTGGTTTTAGCTGGTTAGACTTCAGCAGTTACACCAACACACACTGCAGCCCCCAAGCCTTGTCTCTTGCCAACCTGCGCCTAATATTTTCTGGAATTAGGTGAGCAGGATGTGTCCCTCCAGGGAGAGAGAGCGCATTCCATTCCAGCAATCTATCTCTGGGATTTCCATGTGTAGGAGGGATGCATGGAATTCTCAGCTTGGTTTGGATGCTCTTAAGCACGGTGATGGGTTTCCATACGTGTCAGACACCCGGCTGACAATTTTTTTTATTATTATCAAGCATTTATATTAACTAGCATCTATATTATTGACAACTAACATCTATAATATCGATAATTAGCATTTATATTATTGCTTGGATATTGTTCCCGTTACAGATAACACAACAGGTGGAATCCCGTAGCGCAGTGGTTAATGCGGTTGCCTAGCAAGCGAGAGGATCCAGGTTCGATTCCCAGGTGGGGCAAAACCTTAGACAAGTTTCCTTGCTCCACACGCCTCTGTTTACCGAGTGGTAATCGCTTTCCAGGTGTTAATAAACCCTCCAAAAAACTAATAATAATTTGGTCACTCAATCCATAACTGTTTGTGAAATTGGCCGCTGTGTTTATCCCACAAAATATACAGTCAATTCAATTTAAACTTGATGCGCTTTGAGACATCTCAACGACGTGATAAGGCGTTGTGTTAAAGAAATGCAAGGATTATGATAACTCTGACATCTCGATAAGCAAAGACACTGGTTACCTCAGAGAGTCCGGAGTCCATGAAGTTGCGGAACATTGACTGCCTGTAGTAAGGGCTGGTGGTGGAGGAGGAGAAAGGGAAGAGATCATAGTCGAATAGTCCGTCACCGAAAAACTGGTCGAGCAGGCGGCTTGGATAGAAGGGTCCAAAGGAACGCCTGAACCAGGGGTATTGGATAGAGAGGTCCATACTGCAGGAAGGAGGTCTTTTCTGGACAAGAAAGCACTGAGGGAGAAAGGGAGGGAGGGAACTGTGTGCTGGGTTCAGCTACCCGACCCGGCTTATATAGTTTGTGACTGAATGGGGGCATTAAAATCTGGATGTTTCTGCAATGACGATCTACTGAAAAACTGTGAGTTGTCAGCAGAGAGTGGCCGCTGACCCAGACTTGCCACTGGAGCATTGCTGACAGAGAGTCGTCCCAGCAAAGCCACTGATTCCTCTGCCAACAGCTTATGCTGTCACACCACAACCCAGAGCCAGAGACGAGAGGCATAGGTAGAGGCAGAGACTAGAGGCAGAGACAGGGTTCTTACAGCCTGTCCACGGCTTAATAAACAAGACAAGTACACCCCAGTCATTGTTGTTCATTGTGTTCTTCAGTCCTTAGGATTCAATGTGTTCTGCAGGAGTGTGAGTGTATCACACACTGACTCTGTGTGTGTGTGTGTGTGTGTGTATCACAGAATCATAGAATTATACAGCAAGGAAGGAGGCCATACGGCCCATCGTGTCTGTGCCAGATCTTTGAAAAGAGCTTCCAATTCAATCCCACTCCCCCACTCTCTCCCCATAGCCCTGCAAACATGTCCTCCCCAAACAATTATCTATTCCGCACACTCTGTCTGTGTGTGTGTGTGTGTTGCACACTGGCTGTGTGTGTGTGTCGCACACTGGCTGTGAGTGTGTCGCAAACTGGGGAAACAGTTTTGGATATGTTGCACACTGGCTGGTTGCGACACACACAGGCTGTGTGTGTAAGTGTGTCGCACACCGCTGCTCCCCTCCAGCTCAGTTATTAATAAAAATAATCCTTGCATTTGATACACCTCCTTATCACATTGTTGAGATGTCTCAAAGCGCTTTACAGGTTATATTGCAAAGTGGATTCACTGTGTCTTTTGGGGGCGAAACATGGTAACAGCAGTGTCCCACAAACAGTTGTGGATTTGAGCGTTCATTTTTTTGTTGCAAGGATTATTACCCCCGAACAGCGATCCGTTAATCGACTAACAACCGGGTTTCTACTTACTGCTAGCAGAGGCGTGTGGAGTAAGTAAACTTGCCTAAGGTTTCCCTCCGCCGGGAATGGAACCCGGGTCTTCTTGCTTGCGAGGCGAGCGTCCTAACTGCTACGCTACGGGACTCCAAACTTGAACTCCTGACATCTCCCTGCTTCCTCCTAGTGGAGTTCTGAAATCTCAAGTTCTCGATGACGTGGACGAGGGTCTCGGCAGCCTGGGAGGAGAGGCAGTGGTGGAGACGGACAGAGGTGAGGGCAATCAGAGTGAATGAGAGCCCAAATGTAAGGTTTTAGAGATTGTTGGGAGAGTCAAACAACATTGGATACCTCAACTTAGTTTTACATTAACTATAATAATAATAATTCTTGAATGAGATATAGCACCTTATCGCATTGTTGAGAGGTTTCAAAGCGCTTCACAGAATGTATTGTAAAGTGATTTTGACTGTGTATTTTGTGGGCAAAACGCGGCAGCCAATTGTGCACAGCAGTGTCCCACAGACAGCCACGGAGTGAGTGATCAATTTTATTTAAGGGATTTTGGTTGGGATACCGGGGTAGAGAAAGTTCCTTCTCCTTTTGAATAGTGCTATAGGATCTTTAGCATCCACCTGAAGAGACAGGTGGGACCTCAGTTTAATGTCTCATCCGGAATATGGCACCTCTGACAATGCAACACCCCCAAAACTGCATTGGAGCATTAGCTTAGACTAAGTGAGTTAAAGCAGTTAGTTTGGGGTTTGGTGATTAGCTGTTTGTTGGGTCAGTGAGATTGATTCTCAGAAATGCTTTACTCCCCACGGTTAATAAATACAGGTACTAACGATCCTTGAATGCGATACAGCGCCTTATCACGTCATTGAGACGTCTCAAAGCGCTTCACAGTATATTCTGTAAAATGGAGTGAACGTGTATTTGTGGGTGAACCAGTTTCCTCTAGCTGGCACCTTAGTTTGCCAAAATGAAAGTTTAATGTATGAGTTATCAGCAGGACCTTCCAGCTCAGAGCCACAAAACAACAGCAGCAAATCCTGTCTGTATAGGGGCCCGGCTACATTGTGCCCTGTGGAATGCAACGGGGAAAGTTGGCTGCGACTCTGACCAGATCAGCAGTTTAGCTGCAGAGACAGGAATGTCGGGGCTGAAGAATCGTTGGCGGAATGAGGGGGTCTCGTTTCCACTCTGACAAAGAGCCCGGGCGGTCTCTGCCCACTTTCAGGCACTGGGTTAGCTTTCTCACTGACAACACAGCTTCTCATTTCTGAATGGGGTCGTGCAGCTTAGTGGGTAGTGCGTTAGCCTCGCAAGCAAGAGGACCTGGGTTCGAATCCTGGGAGGGGCGAGAAGGAAACCTTCAGCAAGGTTCCTTACTCCACACGCCTCTGTTTACCTAGCAGTAAGTAGATAACTGGTTGGTAGTCCAGATCGCTTTCCGCGGGTAATAATCCTTCCAAAAAAAAAACGAAGTGGTCACTCAATTCACGTCTGTTTGTGGGACACTGCTGTGTGCAACTGGTTATCGCGTTTTGCCCATAAAATATACAATCAATCCACTTTACTGTATATTCTGTGAAGGGCTTTGAGACGTCTCAATGATATATCAAATGCAAGGATTATTTTTATTATTATTATAAATACCAGCTGATTGAAACGCATCAAATAGCCCCGGAGCTGTGCTGTAAAGTGATTGTTTGCAACGCAATCTGTGGGTTTTACTGTCATAGCAATAGAGAGAGCCTGTAGGTGAGGGTGAGCGTGAAAGAGAAGAGCACGAGTCAAAGAAAAGTGTGACTGCAAAGGTGATGTGTCAAGTCAACAAGTACAAAGAGGAGTGCAAAACGTGCAAGCATATAAAAGTGAGAATTAATCAGAGAGACCACAGGAAAGCATGATAATAATAATAATAATAATCCTTGTGTTGATTTAGCGCTTTTCGCGTCTTCTAGATGCCTCAAAGGGTTTCACAGAATATACTGTAAAGTGAATTGATTGTATATTTGTGAGCGATTTTGTGCGCAGTAGTATCCCACCAAAAGTCGTGGATTGAAGTGACCGATTTATTATTGTTTTTTTTTCTTGAGGGATTATTATCAGGAGTGTGGAGTAAGGAAACTTGCCCAAGGTTTTGCCCTGCTGGGAATCAAACCCAGGTCTCTCACTTGCGAGGCGAGTGCTCTAACTACTGAACTACAAGTGAGTGAGTGTGAGAATGCAATGTAAGACAGAGCACAAGTGCTACAGCACAACATGCAAGTATAAGTGTGTGAAACTCTGCGAGTGTTAGAGTAGGTGACTGTGAGACTGAGTGATTGTTAGACTGAGCAAGTGTTCGACTGAGCGAGTATGAGACTGAGCGATGTGCGAGACTCTGCCATTGTGAATGAACGAGTGTTAGAGTAAGCGAGTATCAGACTGAGCAAGCGTTAGACTCTGCGATTGTGAGAGAGCAAATGCGAGACTGAACAAGTGTGAGTGAGCGTAAGTGAGTGAGCAAGTGAGTGTGACTGAGTGAGTGAGTGTGAGATTGAGAGGTTGTGAGACTGAGAGGTTGTTATATTGAGTGAGTGAGAGTGAGCAAATGTGAGAGTGAGATGGAGCAAGTGTAAGTCTGAGCAAATGTGTGTGAAAACGCGGAAGCCAGTTGCGCACAGCAATATTCTGTGAAGAGCTCTGAGATGTCTCAACAAAGTGATAAGGCGCTGTATCAAATGCAAGGGTTATTATTATTTTCATGAGCACTAAGGTACAAAATGAAGCACCTCAGTGGCGGTTAAAACATTTCTTGGGAGAGGGCAGAGTAACACAAATAGTGTGCAGCTTGAATATATTCAAACGGTATCAATTCAAGCTGCATATTAAACCAAGGGCTCTTTAACTTGCAGCTTCGATAGTGGCAATCAATGTTAGATGCCAGAACTGCGATTTGAATGAAAGTCCATGATTTGTGCTTTCATTCAAATCACGGTTCAGCCCTGCCCTGTGCTTGGCTCTCACTGCGCCTGAAAACAAAGACTAATGCAATCTCTGCTTCTTGTAAACTATGGAGTTTTCCCTGTAGATAGGCCTAAAAACCTGTAATGAATGGGGAAAACCGTTGGCAAGTATGCAGAATGTTTGGTGGGCCTGATTAAATCATCTCTCGGGCCAGATGCAGCCCACCCTGGTCAAAGCTGACACTTCAATGCAGCGCTGGGGGATGGGTGGTGGTGGGGGTGGGGTCGGGTAGTTTCATTGTCGCAGGTGCCGTCCTTCAGGTGAGATGTTAACCCGAGGTCCCATTTGTATGTTCGGGTGGACATTAAAGATCCCATAGCATTATTGGAAAAGAAAAGGGAGTTTCTCTCTCCCAGTATCCGGGCTAACAATCCCCCAAATAAAATTGGTCACTCACTCCACGTCTGTTTGTGGGGCACAATGCTGTGCACAACTGGCTGCTGCCAAAAAGCAGTGGCAAAATACAGTCACTGCACTTGACAGTAAGTACCCTGAAGCTTTGAGATGCCCTTCCATTGATATAGAGCCTTATCATACTCTTTAGCTCTCGTCAACGTCTAAATCTCACGGCTCTCACCTCCTCCACCTACCCGACCTCCCCCTAAAACTCTCCGAACCTGTACACCACCAAGGCGTCGGGTTCGATCCCCAATTATCCTTCCTCCCCCACATCCGGTCCCTCACCAGCACCGCTTTCTTCCACCTCCGACGCATCGCCCTTCTCTGCCAATACCTCACTCCAAAAGCCGCTGAAACCTTGGTCCATGCCTTTGTCACCTCTCGGCTGGACTATTCTAATGCCCTCCTCATCGGCCTCCCCTCCACTACCATACATAAAATTCAAATAATTCAAAATTCTGCCGCCCGCATTCTCACCCGTACCAAACTCCCCTCCCTGATCACCCCAGTCCTTGCCAGACTGCACTGGCTCCCTATCCCAGAGAGGATTGATTTCAAGATCCTCACCCTTGTATTCAAGTCCCTGCACTCCTCTGCACCCCCCGACCTCTCTGACCTCCTCTCTCCTCAAAACAGCACCGGTTGCCTTCGTTTCTCCGAGTCTGGCCTCCTCCTCATCCCCCGAGTCCTCCGCTCCACCCTCGGCGGCTGTGCCTTCAGCCACTATGCTATGGAACTCCCTTCCTCACTCCCTTCGTCTATTTCAGGTCTCTGCTGAAGACCTTTCTTTTTGACGCCTTTGGTCACCTTCTCCCACCACCGGCTCGGTCCCGGGATCCATTACTGTAAAGCGCTCTGAGACGCCGTCCGGCATGGAGGGTGCTAGATAAATCCAAGTTGTCGTTGTTGTCGTTATCCCGTCTTCAGGCGTCCCAAAGCACATCAGAGAATATACTGTAAAGTGAATTGACTGTATATTTTGTGGGTGAAACGCGGCAGCCAATTGCGTATACGGCAGCGTCCCCACAAACAGTCGTGGATTGAGCGACCCAATTTTTTGAAACTTTTTTTTGGTGGGCGGGAGGGTATTATTATTATTATTATTATTATTATTATGGAGTCCTGTAGCTCAGTGGTTAGAGCACTCGCTTTGCGAGCGAGAGACCCGAGTTCAATTCCAGGCAGAGGGCGAAACCTCGGGCAAGTTTCCTTACTCCACACAGAGCCTAATAATAATCCCTCCAAAACCAAAAAACAATACTAAATTGGTCATTTTCAATCCACGACTGTTTGTGGGACATTGCTGTGCGCAATCGGCTGCCGAGTTCGCCCACAAACATACAGTCAATTCACTTTACAGTGTGTTCTGTGAAGCGCTTTGGGACGTCCTCCCGACGTGAAAAGCGCTATATCAAATGCAAGGATTATTTCCCCCAAAAAAACCCAAAGCCTTTTTTTTCTCCTCACGCAGTTTTAAAAAGAACAGCGCCAAATCTGAATTCAGTCACTGCTGCCCTCAGAGCAGGAGGTCCAGAGCATGATTTTGGGCTACTTCGGGGGCTCGTATTTGGGCGACTTTGGGCTACCGAGCGGCTTGCGCCTCCGTCCGTCCCTCCGCCTGCGGCGACCCGGCGTGTGACGTGGCGCGCAGGGAGCGCGTGACGAAGAGCGCAGGTGACGCGGCGCCCCAGTGAGCGGGAGGAGGAGGAGGAGGAGGAGGTAGAAAATGGCGGAGTATCTGGCGTCCATCTTCGGCACCGAGAAGGATAAGTGAGTGCGGCGGTGGGGAGGGAAGTGAAGTGAAGGGAAGGGAAAGGAAGGCAGGAGCTGCTTTGGCGGTGACCGAGGGTAGGAGGGAAGCGGCGGCGGCTGTGTGGGCCGCCGGGGAGTTGCGTGGCTTTGGGCGGGAGCGGGAGAGGAGGGTAAAGCCTCCCCGAGCGCCGCCGCCGCCGCCATGCCGCGGCCTAGTGCTCAGGTCTCCCGTGTGCGGCCCCGAGCGTTGTGCTCAGTTTGGTTATAAACACTGAATAACACACAGTACCGCCATAAATCTGTACTGTTGTTACACATACGGTGTTGTATTATATATATATATATATATATATGCGTGTGTACCAGTTTTTATATATTATATCTAAACTTTATTTATGTGTATATATATATATATATATAATAATAATAATTTGGTCACTTAATCCACGACTGTTTTTGTGTGTGTGTGTGTTGTGTGTGTGTGTGGGTGGGGGTTGGGGTGGGGGTGTTGGGGGGGGGGACGACGCTGCTCTATGTGATTGCCTGCAGAGTTTTCGCCCACGAGATATACCGTCACGACACTTCACACGGTGTGTGTTCTCCACCGAAGCCCCCTCGAGACGTTTCGGAGGCGAGGGTTTTATTCTTTGTTTTATTTCAGGCGAGCTGGCGGCTTCGGTTGTGCAAACGAGGGCCCGACTACCCGTTCTTGGATACAGGAACAGGAGTAGGCCATTCAGCCCCTCGAGCCCGTTCCGCCATCCTATTAGATCAAGGCTGATCTCAACAATATATATATATATATATGTAATAAATCAGGTGACCGAGCCGCATGGCCCAGGTCCACCCCCCCCCTCCCCCCACCAACAGGGCCTGTACTGGCTTTCTAGCCTAAGATTGAGGTGGGGGAACTGCTCCACGGTTGGCTTCAGTGTCTCTGGTGGGGGACACGGAGCAATCCTAATTGCCGGGTTCCTCGCTCGTAATGATCGCTGTCCGTCCCACAGAGAGACCAGACCCACTCTTTCTGCTGGAGAGGGAGAGAGTGGGGCTGTATAATGTGTTTAATTAATGGGTCTCCCTCAGTCGTTCTATCTCTGTAGCAGAGAAAGAAAGACTGCGGGAGACCCATGAAATAAAACTCAATGGCATCCTTCAATTATTATTATTATATATTATATATATATTATATATCCTTCAGATGAGACGTTAAACCCTGGTCCCATCTGCCTGTTCAGGTGGATGCTATGGATCCCTTGGCAATACTCGAAAAAAGAAGGGAATTTCACTCCCGGTTTCCTGGCCAACAATCCCTCAAAATAAAGTCGGTCATTCATTCCCATGGCTGTTTGTGGGACATCGATGTGCGCAAACTGGCTGCTGCTTTTCACCCACAAAATATACAGTTGCTCCACTTTACAGTGAATACTGTGAAGCTCTTTGAGACGTTTCCATGGCCTGATAAGGCGCTATATCAAATTATTATTATTTCTGCCCAAATCGATCGTGGTCCCAAAAGAAACATTAACTCGTGGTTTACATAGAATCGCATAGTTTGAGAACTTGCCCATCGAACATCTGTTCGCACTCTCACAACAAATTCCATTAACATGGCGCCGTTTCACATCAGGAATACTTCCCAAGGCACTGGACAGTGAGGGGTTTGGAGTCAAGAGAGGGGAGGGGTGGGTGGACGATCGAAGGCACAGTGGAAGAGGAAGATCTTGCAGCAGGCCTTGAAGGAGGCGAGGAAGGCTGCAAAGGTGAAAGTTCTATGGGGTGGAGTTCAGAGGTTTGGGACAAAAAGACTGAAGTTCTGACTGCTGATGGTGAGGCGGCAGGGTGGGGGACACGGAGCAGGCCAGTGGCTGCTGAGTGGAGGGAGTGGGAGGTATTAGTAGGTCCCAGAGGAAGGAAGGAGCAAGACCGTGGAGGGATTTGAAACTGAGGACGACGAGCTTGAATTCTATCCTCCGGGGGATGGGGAGCCAGTGGAGCTGGGCGAGGGTTGGGGCGATCGGCTCATGGAACTTGGTGCGGGAGAGGGCACGAGCTGCAGAGTTCTGAATAATCTGCAGCTTGTGGAGGAACAGTTGGTAAATATGGTGAGCAGGGAGTTGGCATAGGACTTCTTGAAAGCATGGATGAGGATCTTTGAATGGAAATAACCCTATGAATGGAAACGTTACTTCAAACCTTGTGCTTTACTTTCCCAGTGGTAATGTTGAGTTTATGACCAGTTATAACCAATTTAAATCAGGACATCTGAGATTTGGGGGGATGATACAAGATAAAATCTGCTTTTAAGATTGGTTTTAAAATTGCATTTGTGCCTTAATATACAGACTTTGAGTAGCTGATAGTATCTCTGCCAAGTAAACTTTTATAAAAGGGAGTTGTGCCAATCCGTACTGTAACTTGTGAGAAAGAGAGCGCGGGGGCATTTACTCTGTAGCTCCTCCTGCCTTGCCCCTCCCCCCCCCCCCCCCCCCCCCCGGGTATTTTTGCTTATCTGTGTGTGTCGGGGTAGGGGGATGGTTATGAGTGTTGCGCTCCCACATGTCCTGGTGATTTAACGCGTATTCCATTCTGCAACAGGGTTAACTGTTCGTTCTATTTCAAAATTGGAGCGTGTCGTCATGGGGACAGATGTTCTCGTTTGCATAACAAGCCGACTTTCAGCCAGGTGAGTGTGTGCTGTTTGCACTTTTTTCCCCCCACTAACCTCCGCAGAGCACCTGGTAGCCAAATCTACGCCCGCACAAAGCTCTTGACTGAAATACTGTGCTCGGATTACCAGAAACTCCACTGTTAAAGGTGAATCTGCGCCAGAGGCCACTCAGTGGGACCTGGTTACCAGGTGTCCTGCACTTGACTGTGCTGTGATGATTGTCTCGTACAGCTCAGGGTTCTTAAGCAAATCGGGTTCTGATCTGACCTTCCTAAAGAAGACGCCAGTGCCATTGAAACTGTAGCCTTGTAGCCAGGCTGTTTGGATTTTTTTGGTCAGCCCGGTGTCTTGACACATCCGGAAACCCTTCACCGTGCTTAAGAGTATCCAAACCAAGTTGCAAATTCCATGCATCCCACCTACACGTGGGAATTCAAGAGATAGATTGTTGGAATGGAATGAGCTGCTCTGACACCTTAAGCTTTTATAGAAGGCCAATTGCTCAGCTGACACACTATTATAAGCAGAAGTGATGTGGCACAACAGTATCATTGCCCCTTTTTAGCAGGAAGAACCCTGCAGCTAACTCGTCTCTTTCCGATGTTTGTTTATTGTGTTGATCTAAAGTTTTAAGCATCTCCATACTGAAGCCCATGAGGCGGAGCTCGAAACGTCCTCGGTTCCTGCCAGCTTTCTCGCTGTTTGGGGTCCGCACACAACCGGGTTTAGCAGCCGTAACCTTGCAGCATTTGGTCACAATGACTAAGTGACTAAAGTGCTTGCTTCTCAAAACGAACGTGGTGTCAGCCCGACTTACCTGAGCCACAATGTGCTCGAAATCAGGGTTTCAGTCAATTCTATCTTCACCAATCAATTCAGTGTCCAAAATTTTCAGGTGGAGTTAACCTAGAGAAAACACTGGGGTCTTCAGTATCTGTCTGTTGGAGCAATCGCATAAATCCCCTAGTTTGAGTCTGTTAAGCGTGGCTGTGCAGATCCCACAAGCAGGACTGGAGGCGAGTGTTCAGGTGGACGTTTCCAGTTCAGTAGAAGGTATCTGAAGATTCTTGGGTTGTCCCCAACAATGCTCAGATATACAATACTCGCTCCTCTTTCTCCCAACCATTGAGAAACAGATGTTAAATGCTGCTTAATGCACTTGGTATTGCTGCAACTTCAATACCCAGTGGAGCTATGATTTCAGTGAATAATTTAAATCAGATTCACCAAAATTGCAACAGATATTGCTTTAGGTTCTAACATGTTCCCTTTGCTGGGAGATCCATGAATGTTTGGAGCAACAGCACTGTTTATCTAAGAGCTTAAATATTTGTTGTTCCACCCACTTCAGGTGTATGTAATATGTAATAATTCTTAGATGTGAAAGGTGCTATATCAGGACATCTCAAAGCGCTTCACAGTGCAGTGACTATTTGGCGGGTGGATGTCTTCACTCCTGCGGATCTAAACTCTTCAACTTCCCTGGGCTCTTCCTCAGACTAACCGAACCAGTGCGCAATCTAGGCGTCCAGTTCGACCCCCAGCTGTCCTTCCTCCCCCACATCCAGTCCCTGACCAAGACCGTCTTCTTCCACCTCCCCCACATTGCCTGCCTTCGACTGTATGTTATCCCAAATGCAGGCGAAACTCTCGTGCATGCATTTGTCACCTCCCGTTTGGATTTCTCAAATGCACTCCTCGCCGGTTTCCCCAGGTCCACCATTCAAAAGATCCAGCTCATTCAGAACTCTTCCACCCGCATACTGACCCGGACCATACTCCGTACCTCACCAGTTCTGGCCCAGGCTCCACTGGCTCCCCATCACCGAACGGATCGACTTCAAGATCCTCACACTCGTGTTCAAATCCATTCACTCCCTGGCACCTCCCTACTTCTCCGACCTCTTCACTCCCCAATCCACCACCCGACCCCTCCAACTCCTGCTCATCCCTCGCACCCTCCGCCCTACCATCGGAGGTTGCGCTTTCAACCACTATCCCCCCAAAACTCTGGAACACTCTCCCTCAATCCCTCTGGCTTGCCCACCCCTCCCCTTTTCAAGTCCTACCTGAAAACCTTCCTCTTCGACCTTGCCTACGGCCACCACCCCACGCCCACCCCGAATCGGAGTCAGGCTCCACCACTGTTAAGCGCTCTGAGCACATTGTTGTTGTTGTAAGGGGCTATATCAAATGCAAGTATTATTATGTATCTGAGAAATAGGAGATTGATGCCTTTAGTAACTTGGTACATGAAAAAGCCTGAAGTGGGATGGATGGCAGAATGGTGCTGCTGTTCAACTGTTTGATCCGGTGACTTTGGTTAACTGTTGAAATGCTTTTCTTTTCAGACGATGGTTTTAAGAAGAACGTGACAAGCTTTAGTAGCTGTCCTCAATCCTGGAAAACTGCTGGATTGTACTGGCTGTTTAGTGGGTTGAGGGCAGCACCAACAGGAAGGGGATATGGTTAGATTGGGGACTGTTTGTAACATCCAGGAGGTTACTCTCGATTGCTGATTCGTCAGAATTTGAGTCCTTTCCAAATTTGCTGTTAAAACAAAATGCCAGGTCTCAGTTCTGCCTTCTCTGTGTTCATTGCTTGCCTTATTGAATGATTATTTTTACTGTTGATTTATTTTACTCTACTGCTGATGCCGAGCTTGCCGGAAAACCTCCGCCTCTGTGCTGATGTGGTGTTAGTGGTGGTGACTGCAGGTTTTTCAGGAGGCGCCTCTGGATTTCTGGGAATGGGAAGAATGACTGGTCACTTTCTGTGCTGCTCAGTCCACAAGTTGGCCGGATATTCATGAACCCCCCACCTTTTCAAACCTCAGACTCATTCCCGTTTTGAGAACGGACCTCCAGTAACATTAAATCCTTTTCACCAGTGACATCTTCTCAGCAGATCTCTGTTCCTTTCAAGAATGTCTTTGGGCTGCAGCTAGTTTGTCCTGTTAGTGCCTGAGAGGCAGCATGTTGCCTCTGGTAGTCGGGATGTGCTTTTGACCTCTCACTGTGCCTGACTCCTTGACTCTGGTTACTTGTGCTGGCAACTGATGCACGTATACTTCACTCCCGTCTCTTCTTAGGGTAGCTGTTCTTTGTGCCTGAGCCTTGACACAGCATAGCCAGATCATCGCGGCCAGTCTGATTTCAGTTTAACGCCATGTTCATGCACATGAACGTCTTAAGAGTTTCTGGCTGCTGTTCAGTAACTTTCATCCACTCCATCCTAGGGACACCTATGTTTCAGTGCACCAGCTAACTTTGCATGGCTGGCCTTCCTCAGTCTCTAGGCCTAGCTTTAGACTTTAAGCACTTGTATTGGAAAGGGCCCAGCATTAATGAATGCATTCTATGCAGAAGTCCCGATGCAGCTTTCTCTCCCAGGAGAGTTGGTGAGGCAATGTTTTACATACTCTGATGACTTTAAAGGCATGATTCAACTGCCCAGAGTTAGCTGATTCCAACTCTTAAATATTTATCAAACTGGCACTTTCTTTACTGCTACTAAAAAGCCCCATTGAAAGTGAGCATTTCATATGTTGATATGGAAAGGGCTCAATGTTTGATTATGCTGATGTGCTGTGTTAGGTCAGAGTTGCCCGGCCCATTTTCCCATACAATGAGGCCTTCTTTAGGGGAATGTGAGTATGGAGTGAGCGGCGTATCATTAGCAGCCAGGGACTGTACTCTCAGGTCTGAGAGAGAGCCTGTTGTCGTGTTTTCCTTGTAAGGAGCAGGTCATCCAGGATGGAGCAGCGCTACGTTTATCGGAACCAATAACCCGCAGTGAATAGGGACTGATCACCAAATTACTCTACTTCTGATCCAGCAACGACTTGTGTGATTGGGGCAACGTCAGCCTGGCTTAGGCTTTCTTCCAATTATTCCCACCCACACACTGCCTGTGGAGCCTCCCTTACTGTACGTTCTGCACATAAAATGGCGGGTTTGGGGGAGGGCATCAGAGCTCAATGGAGCTCTTAGAGTTTAGAAAGTCTGCCTGCCTTCCTGTTTGGTGGGGGCTGTTTTCTGATCCCTTGTCTGCTGGTCTGGCTCTTGGCACTTTGTTCTTGTAGGGGCCTCGTGGTGCTGATAATAAAAGGAGTTGGGAGTGTTGCTTCATTCATTCGGGTGCCGCTGCCTTTGTACAGTACCTTCCACCTTTGCATTAATTTCCGGCTGCACTGAAATGCTAGATTTATACTGCATGGCGTAAAATTATCACATCTTCACTTTGCAGAGCTGACATTTGTGCACAACCCTCCTCCCGGGCTTATTGCTCCCTCTCCTGGTGCAGGGACATTGCTGTCTTTTCCACTCTTCACTCCACTCCTAATCTCCAGACCAGAACGGCAATTTTACTTCTGTGGCTCTGGTATTTGTGTTTGTAACATCTTCGTGAAGGTTTTGCAGTTACACGTGCCCATTCGGGATTAGGGGAGAGAGGTAGTTTTTAATTTTAGAAATAATTCTTGTAAAAGTGCTGCAGAGATGTAAAAGGATGTAGCTTCCTTTGTCTCTGGTCACGAGCTTTCCTTGGATCATTGGATTGGAGGGTGTAAATAAAGTGGAAAAGTTAGTTGTGGAATTATCTCAGCACTGTGAGAAAAAATATATTACTGTTTGTCTTCATTGGCACCGAAGGACCCTCCGGATTTAGTAAGATGTGAGTTTCCAGTCCTCATAACAAATCCCCACACACCTACATCATGTAATATTGGGCACATAGACTAGGACACGTGTCGGTTGACCTGTGCAATAATTGTCTAGGGAGGGAGAGTCAGGGTTACACTCCTATTGTCGGCCTAATGACCTCTGCTGGACACCGCTTGTGGGCTGATTCTGGCTCAACTGTGATACACGTGTCGTCTGGTCACGCTGTTTCAGCAGCTTGATTGAGCCACTGACATTGGAGAAGGTGTAGGGAATATACAAGGCTTAATATTTAGTTCTATGCTGAGAATATGAAAATAGGTTGGCAATGAATTTCATCACAAGACGTATCTTAACGTTTTTTGGGCATTCACATTCTGAGAGCCAAACCGTGTTCTGTTTAAGATAACTCAGTATCTTTACCTTGTGGCATTATCCCCAGCACTACAGAGTCCAACGTATGTCAGCGGGAAACTCGGGACGAAGTTTCTTACGTGGACAGAATGGCATAAGCTTCACGTAAAGCCATTGACTGCTTTTTTTACATCATAAAATACACTGCTCTAGACCTTGCTCCCTTTTCAGAGCAGACTTTTCGTGTGAATCTTTATAAAGCACCACCTGGAAGTGGTGTATTTGCTTGCGGCTTTTTGCTTCCATCTTACCTTTCACCAACCTCTTCTGGCATTTTCCATCGGTTCAACAACCTCACTGAAACGGGGATTTTTTCCCCCAATCTTTATAAAAGTCACAAAACTCCCAGTGATTGGCTCAGTAGCAGCCCTGCACAGCACCTCTCGGCAGGTCTTTTAAGAGCTGCTGCTGCGTTTTTGATTTGAGGTTTTCTTTGCACAGAGTACAGGGGGGAGAGAGAGAAAATGGGTTAAACTTAACTTTCACAAGCAAACACACTGCTCCACCCACGGGATCCCGTTTCACCACCTCACTCACTAACTGGCCTACTTAATCACTGCCTGTCCCAACCGGCGAGTTGTGTTGTGGGTAGCCTCATGAATGTAGCATTATGTTTGACCATGTCCGAGTTCTTTCCCCTCCGCAGCCAGCTCTAGTATGTGCAAGCAGCCAATGGCATTTCCTTTTTTTCCTCTGCAGACCATCTTGATTCAAAACATCTACCGTAACCCCCAAAATAGTGCGCAGACGGCTGACGGCTCACACTGTAAGTCCCACCATTGGCGATTTGGGGGGTTTGGCCCTTTCAATAGAACTCAAGCTGTTGGTCTTGCATACTGACTTGAGGCCAATCAAAAAAAAAAAGACAAGATGTAACCGTTTGCGCAATCCAGGGCTTGATGTTGATGTTTTCCCGACTTGCACTATTCAAATCTACTCCGTCCATGTGCACAAAGGACGAAATGGGTATTTCTGGGGCCCCAGTTCATCCTGACCCAGTATTCGAGTTGGGAATCCGGGGCATATTCCTGAACATCATTAATTTGACAAATGAAATGCCTGAGAAAACATCAAACCCTGGCTAGCAAGTGCTGAGACCTGGAAGCTGTGGCTTCAGGCCCCGATTCGGTGTGGTGCCGCAGTGAGCTGGGTAAGTAGAGGATGTTCAGTACCGTGAATGCTGAGATGCCAACAACTCAAGACCAGTCTTCTGATTCCAAATAACCTCCATTCTCCTCAGTTTTGTGGGGATCTCATGGTATAAGACACAAGTGAGATGGACACTAGATCTGAAATCAAATGTAAGATGCTACCTTACCTGGGCAGATTACATTGTCATACCAACCCTGTCATTACTGCACACACTGAACCAGTGTCAAACAAACACTATAGAAAATTGGGCTACAGCAAAAAGAATGCACCAATTATCCTATTCATTTGATGATTGACCATATGATTTTTAAAGTGGAGTAATATCAGCTGTCATCTGTGGCACAGATTTGCTGCCGAGCTTCTCGTTATATCATGATATCTCCAGAACTTCACAGTTTGCTCAGACTTTTTTTTTCCTGACGAAATTGAAGACTGCCTCTTCTCTGAAGGGATTAACTTTTTCTTTTCAGCTTCCCATTTACAGTCCGCCCTTGCGTCAAGGGCTGAGGTGTGAAGTAGGTTTTTTAAGTTGCCTTTTTTTTTTGAGAGATGTCGTGTCAAAACTTGTTACGTTTTGTATTTCAGACCATTGCGCTCTTGAACTTATACCGTAACCCTCAAAACTGTACCCAGACAGCAGACGGTTTCCACTGTAAGTTAACAAATGCCTTTGGAGGATGTTGAGTTGTATTTACAGTCAGGAGGATGTGTGTTTTGTCATCCGATTCAGTACTTTGTTATAACATAGTTTCAGCAAAGTTCAGTTTTATGTATGAATTTGCAAATTTCTCAACCAGCTGGCTGAGAGTATCTATGTGCCGGAGGGAGGGTGTTGCTGACATCTGCAAAAATGAGTACAGAAAATCGGGGGGGAGTGGGGGGGGGGGGGAAGCGAGACATTGAACCAGCGATGAAATTAGTGAAAAACCCTTCCAGATTGGGGCCGCCGTCTTCTGACTAACTTGATCCAGGGGCTGGTACCTTGCACCAGGCGTCGTGTCGGTCGAAATGTGGTGCTACCTTCAGCCCTGGACCACAGCAGTCAGCAGCGAGGGTCCCAACGCAGAAGCGGTGATGCCACTCGCAAAAGGGGGGGTGGGGTGACCTGTGCTGAAGGGCAGGCAGCCAGGCTCAGCTGCAGTTTTTGCAAGTCTGAGGAAGTTGGGTATTTTCTTGAATTAAAACAAGGAAAGTTAGTTCAGCTGGAAGACAGGGAGCAAAGAGTGCAAGCCGACCCCGGTATTAGACCACCCAGCCCGCTCGCCTGGTATCAGCAACGGGTCCGTACTTTCACTAGCCTAAACATGGGAAGCGCTCTCACACCTGCTGGTTGCAGTCTGCAATACTAATCCTGTTCCATGGTCTCTCTGTGTTGATGGTAGATGGTAGAATGGGGGACCTGGGGTTTAAAATGTGCATTCATTTGTTTCAAATTGATTTGTTTCATATGTGTTTTTATTGTGTGATGCTTCACAACAAAGAGCTAATACTGATAGCTTGTGAGCATAGAACTGATGTGTACAGAATGCATTAGTCCATTTCACCAGTGTACATTGAAAAAAACAGTTGGAAAATATTTTCTCACACAGTCCTATTGTGTTATCTAAAGTGTGAAGTTCCATCGTTGAAATTGTTGGATTAACTTTGGTGAGAAATCGAAGGACAAAATCCCGAAATGCTTTGTGGATGATCCCTGATGCTTGGTTTAAGACACACGATGCTCAAAGGTGCAATCATTTAAGGTCACTTGTATTACGTAAGATCCAGGTACAAAGTAGGAGAGAATTGCCTTGTTTTTGGGTGGCGCAGGTTTTTATTTTTCACTTCTGTTGATACTCGGTGGTAACAGACACCGCTGAACTCCCTCCTGTATTCTGGTCCATAAAACGAGACTATAAAATGTTACCTTTCAGATCCCTTTGAGGCTATAAAGCTTCCCTTTGAGCTTGCCTTGGATCAAGGACATTCCTGGAGTGCACAGTGTGTTACTAAGCCAGTTCACTCTAAATTGGGCCTTGCTGCCTAATGGAGAAATGTTGCCCCCCAACGCACAGTCTGACCCTTTGCCCCCACAAGCCAGGATCTTTCTGAGCTGCTTGCTAACTTTCAGGAAAGCTGAAGTCCAGTGTATAGTTTCTATGTGTTTTGGACGCACAATGGGTTGGAAAAATCCTTACCTTACTGCCACTGAGTATAATTAACGTGCGCATTAATTCTGAATTGCCGTCATCAATCAGGTTGATGCTCGTCTTGATACCAGAGAAGGGAAACGTTGGGCTAAACATTAACCCTTAAACCAAGCAGTTTGAGAAAGCATTGAGTGCCCACAGGTACTAAATCTGTTCACAGGTCTGCTCTTTAAATAAGGTCCTTGGAAGCTTTTACAGCTCCATGCAGCCACTTGTCTATCAATCTCCAATAAGGGGAGACATTCCTACAACCGAAACAGCAACTCTGCTTCAGGATTGCCCCAGGAGGAAGGGAGTGCCCTCAAACACAGACTTGTGCTCTCTAGTAGCCGTGAATGCTGTTTCCTTCCTACCTGCCCCTCAGTATACCAATTACACCTGTCTTAGATATTGCTCAATACTGTATACTTCAACCCCTCATTAATTTGCGATTCAGCACAGTGCCAAATGAGTAGAGACAAGGTGGTTGGTTTAGTGTCAACGGGTTTAAAGGAGGTTGTAATTACGCTTGTTGGAGTTACTACCACTGCATGTTGTAAATCTCAACCAGGCAACCAACTAAAGCCGACACGAATAATGAAGGATGCAATGTGGCCTACCTTTGGATTTGTTAGGGTAACGTCCTGCAGTGTTTGTATCTGTCTGCTGAGAAAAACAATTTGTTAGGAATCTTATCTAAAAACTGCAGCGTCCTGGATCGACCCAAAGCCTATTTCCTTTGTCATAACGTATATGAATTCAATGGGTGAAGCTCCTTTGCAATTTAGACTTCAGATATCAACTGGTCTTGTGTGGTAGGCTTCTATTGTGTGTGTCCATTGTCTTTAAGTATTTTTTAGGGTAAATTCCAAAAGGTTAGTGATTTTCTATGGGTGCTGATCGTGTGGACACGTAAACTCACAAGGTGATTCCTATGGTTGTGTGGATGGCAAGGTTGGCTAGCTCCCTGTGAATGTGGGGGCAGGCAAGGCTGGCTCTCTCCCTATGGTTGTGCCACGTTTCCTGCAGGTCCTGTCCATTCAAGGCTTTACCTCAGGTTTTTACACGGTCCAGAATCTCATACACTACCTTTATAGTTTTCTTCAATTATATTGAATCTAATAATAGTAATAATTCTTGCATTTTGTCACGTCTTCAAGACGTCTCAAAGTGCTTTGCTTCATATAATTTATAAATATAAAATAATATAAATATAAATTATAACTCTTTCCCCACCCCACCCAATACAATGACTTTCTGGGGAGGAAAATCCAGATAAGATTGTAAACACGAGGCTGTACAAGATCATAGAATCTTAAATGGCAATCGAGTCTTTAGCCCCTCGACCTGGTGTAACTGTACTTAATTGCCGTGCCTTCCCTGAGCCCCTTCATATTTTTCACATACTTATCCAATTCCCTTTTATCGTAATCTGAAAAGCCGGCACAAACACTTGTAACCCCAAGAAGTCCCTGTATTCGCCGTCCAAAAAAGTCTTTAAACTGGATGTTGAACTAAAGTTACCATCCAATGTGTATAAACAACAACAACAACAAATTACATTTGTATAGAACTTTTCACGTCGGGAGGACGTCCCAAGGCGCTGATTTGTATCACAGCTCCACAAACCTCCTTTGATCCTGATTTGTGTGGTAGACTGTAATAGGAAGTCGTGCTCAAGCGTCTCTCAGTCAGTGTTACAGAGCACACATTTCAGTTGGAGTAAGCCTTGCTGGCATCAAATAAGTGCTTACGGTGCTGTGCATATTACTGCGCTGGGCTGCAGGAAGTGTTTAACACTAGGTGGTGTCCGCGCTATTTCACTGGACAATTGCGATTGAGTCATGTTTATTCGCTTAAGTTTGCTTTAATAGTTTGTGTAAGAACAAATGGATGCTGCAGCTTCGTGGCATTAAACGCCTGAAGCCGGGGTATAAACTCTGTCTCTTCCTGTTAGGTGCCGTTGGAGATGTTGAAATGCAGGAACATTATGATGAGTTCTTTGAGGTAAGTGACCCAGATATTCTCGATAACATTATAATGGAGTGTTTGGCTGGTCTACGTATAATGGGGAGGTTGAGTAGGTTTGTGTGTAATGGGGAGGTTGGGTGGGTTTGTGTGTAATGGGATGTTTGGGCAAGTTTGTGATAGTGTTAGTTATGTACATGCAGTGCCTTAGTATCCTTAACAGCCTTGAAACAGATCATTAAGTCCATCAAATCTTTTTTTCTTCTCATGAGTCACTTAAATTAATCCCCTTCGCTTTTCATTTACCAAATTCTCTAATATTTCTTTGTGAACCACTTCTTGCCTCTTAAACAAATTTAAGGATTCTCTCTTAACTGCGAATTCCATGTTCAGAGAAAAAGGGATGGAGTATTGTGATACTCCGGCCTCCTGTTTGCCCCTGATCCCCTTGGTTCCACCATCGTGGCCATGCCTTCAGCCACTATGCCCTGAAACTCTGGAACTGTCTCTCTCAATCCCTCCACCTTACCCCGTCCCTCCCCACCTTCAAATCCCGACTAAAGACCTTTTTGATCGTGCTTATGGTCACCTCCCTCTCCCCCTGGCTCGTTGTCAGACTCGGCCACTGTGAAGCGCTCGGGCACAACCTTGTGTGAAGGACGCAATATAAATGCAAGTTGTTGTACAGAAACTTGAATATGCTGAGCTTAAATACTGTGTTTCCTTTACCCATCTCTTTCCTCCCCTCCCCCCCGAAAAGTAAAACAATAAAAGTTTTGACATTCTACCTTTACTTGCAGGAGGTTTTTACGGAAATGGAGGAAAAATATGGTGAAATTGAAGAGATGAATGTCTGTGACAACCTGGGAGATCATCTGGTTGGAAATGTCTATGTAAAGGTAAGGTCGGGCCCGCACGTGAATTTCCGCGGGTTGACATTTTGAGGTATTTGTACCAATTCCAGAAACGAGGATGGGGCATTGGCCCAGGCTGTAGGGAGGGGAGGACAGGAGAGGAGAGCGTGATTCAGCTTTGATCCCAAGTGATTCTTTGGGTCAAGGTGTTGGCTGTGATGTTATGGGGGGCTCTCGTGGCTGTGCTTCAATCCTCTTCCTAAACTAATCCTCGGGCCTCACTCGGTTGACTGGCGGGAGTCTGTTTTGGGGGTGGGGGGGTGAATGGGATTTCTGTCTGGTGAAAGGGAAGTGAATAAGGCCTTTGTCAGGGGGAGGGGTTAATAGGGTCTCTGACTGGGATGGAAGGGGAGAGCCAAGTCTCTTTCTGGGGGACAGGAAGTGGTAATCAGGCTCAAGTTGATGCAGTTGGAGTTCTGCTCTGTTCCATTGACGTGCCTCCAGCCTGTCCCCTTCTTCCCTGGCCCCACCCTGTGCACGTTTGCTTAATTCTGTTAGGTTCCTGGGCCCATGGTATTTTTCAGCCAGCAGAGAGTTTCATTGTGTTCATCTCTGCTGCTCCCAGGGGCGAATCCAGTTCCATGACTGTCACCAAGTTCCATCCATCCATCTCTTTACGTGCTACATTTCTTCCTTTGCAGTTCCGCCACGAAGAAGATGCGGAAAAGGCCGTGAACGACCTGAACAATCGCTGGTTCAATGGGCAGCCGATCCACGCTGAGCTCTCGCCTGTGACCGACTTCCGAGAGGCCTGCTGCCGACAGTATGAGATGGGGTAAGTGTGTGTGAGGCTGCTGGAGAACTGATTCTGAGCCCGTAGCGCGTGAGGGGAGATTATTATCATAACGATCCTTGAATTTGATACAGGGCCCTATCACGTTGTCTGAAAGTGCTTCGCAGGAGTTTTCTGTGAATTGTACTGATTGCGTATTTGAGGGAGTTGATACGTTGTCCAAAGTGGAGTCTTGTAGTGTATTGGTTACAGCACTCGTCTTGGGTTTGATTCCCGGCAGGGCGAAACCTTAGACAAGTTTCCTTTCTCCACACCTCTGTTTACCTAGCATTAAGCAGGAACCCGGTTGTTAGTCGATTGGCTGATCGCATTCCAGGAGTAATAATCCCTACCAAAAATAAGAATACTGCTGTGATTTCGCGATTCATCCACAAAATTTACCATCAATCCACTTTACAGTATATTCTTTGCAGCACTTTGAGACGTCTCAATGACGTGATAAGGCATGAAATCAAATGCAAGGATTATTAATATATGCGGAGGGAGTACATTAGCTGATAGGGGATGGGAGTCTTTAGTCGTGAGAAGTGTTGGATTTTTGTTCCAATAGCTTCTCCAGTTCATTGAGGATATTGTTGACCGTATTGATCCCTGACAGGTTGCGATAATAATAGTGGCCACGGGGTTACGCCACAGTTACATCTTAGTGCTGCAGTACTGCATTCAATGCATCAGGTGGCAGTGTACGTCACCAGCCAAATGTAACATGGCTACGTATGGCTTCAGTTATCTGAAGTAGTCATGTAGGAGTTTATGTGAAGTCAGGTAGTATATTGGTTAGCGCGCTCGCTTTGAAGCGAGAGGACCTGAGTTCGATTCCCTGGCGGGGCGAAACCTTAGGCAAGTTTCCTTACTGCACGCACTGCTGTTTACCTAGCAGTAAGTAGGAACCCGTTGTTAAGTCGATTGGCAGATCGCTTTCTGGAGGGCAATAATCACTCCCAAATAAATAAATAAAATAATTTTGTAAATTATAAATCATAAAATAATAACTCAATCCACGACTGTTTGTGGGACACTGCTGTGCACAATTGGCTGCCGTGCTTTGCCCACAAAATATACAGTGAACTCATTTTACAGTATATCCTGGGAAGCACTTTTGACACGTTTCAATGAACTGATAAGGAGTGGATCAAATGCAAGGAATATTGTTATTAAGTAAGCTGGTGGCTTTTGGTTGTGCAAACAAGGCCCACCTGCCTGCTGTTTGGGAGGCTGAGTGGATGAGTTCAATCTGAGGTACTGTAGCTTTAACCACACACTTTCCTTGCTTTGCAGAGAGTGCACCCGCGGTGGGTTTTGCAACTTCATGCATCTGAAGCCGATTTCACGGGAATTGCGTCGTGAGCTGTATGGGCGACGTCGTAAGAGGTCAGTGTCCGGGTGCTTCTGTGAACCATCCTTATAGAGCCAGGAGATCAGTGTGTGACTGTATATAACACACAGCTCCTCACTGTGTGACTGTATAACACACAGAGCTCCCTCACTGTGTGACTATAAGACACAGAGCTCTCTCACTGTGTGACTATAACACACACAGCTTCTCAGTGTGTGACTATATATCACACAGAGCTCCTTGGTGTGTGACAGTATATAACACACAGCTCCCACACTGTGTGACAGTATATAACACACAGAGCTCCCTCACTGTGTGAAAGTATATAACATGCAGAGCTCCTCACTGTGAGTATATATAACAGGCAGAGCTCCCTTAGTATACTATAGTTTACTACAGTAAACTGAGAACTCGTCGCTCCAAGGGCAAAGGGCTCAGTGACGAGTTATCCTGAGTTAGGCATGTGTAGAAACACATAAATAAATGCACTCAGGATGTTGACAGCACAATGACAAGGTGGTAGCGAGAAGTGAAGCCAGCGTCGAATTATCAGGAGTTTACTGTATATATAACACACAGCACTCTCTCACTGTGTGAAGCATCTTTCTATCCACTTGTATTTTTGAAGCTTTTTTTAAAACTCTTTGGAGAGATTAATGACTTTTTGTCATCAGATTGTCGGGAAGCTGTCTACTGCTGGCTGAAAAATTATAGGTACCTGGATTCCTGAACAGTCTTAAACCATTAACTTTTTATCCCCATTTCTCCCCCACCCCCCTTCGCATTCTCCCACGAAAGCTTTGGACTACAGCTGCGGGAATCATGGACAGCTCCAGCCCTGCCAATGTTGCTGAGTGACCTGACCTTCCTTTTTTCTCCTCCCCTCCCTCCCCCCCCCGCCTCCCTCCCTCTCCCCCTCCCTCCGTCTCCATCTCCCCTCTCTCTCTCCTCCCTCTACCCCCTTCCTCACTCCCTCCCTCCCTCTCTCCCTCCCCCTACCTCCCTCTGCCCCTCCTCTCACTTCTCTCTCTCTCACCCCCTTCCCTCCCATTCCCCCCCACCACCCCTCTCCCTTCCTCCCTCTCTCTTCCCGCTCCCCAAGAGGTGGAAAACTCTGCTCCTTCCCCACCCCTATTATAAGTGGCATCTTCCACTGCTTCCCCCGTGTCTCAAATGTCTGTGTGTTTTCCCTTCTCAGAGTCCGGTGGCTGGAAACACAACATGGCCCCATGTCTTTGGGGGGTGGGGGGGGGGAGTTGGGGGATCAATCTCCATTCTACGACAAGCCCGAGCGCAGGGTGTTGGCAATTCGTCTCCCATGTCTGTTGACTTTAGTTTCCGTGTATTTCAGCCAGCAGCAGGGTAGCCGCGTGACTTCGTCCGGTGACAAAAGGCTGTTAACCATCGCTCCAAAGCACTTAGTGGCTGCCATCAGGTGAGTAGAACATTGCTCCCCCTCAGGCTTTCCTTCCTCGAATGAAATGCAGCCAGCTGCTCCCAAAACTGTGGGTAACTTGGAACAAAACTGCTGTTTCAAGTTCTTCTTTTTGTGCCCCGCCAACTAAGGTCCAGCACCGTTTGACCAGGTGTGTGCGTGGCAGAGGTTCACTGGAGTCATCCAATGGGTCACTGTAGTGGCAATGGAGATGGTGGGAGGAACTGAGTTTCTCTCCATCTGCCTCTATTACAGCTAACAGCCCGGCTCGTGCTGTCTGTCCACAGTGTCATCTCTTCTCCTCACCTTGGCTTGCTTGACTGGGAAGTGAAAGTGAGAGGCTCCCCCCACCACAGACTGGCTGAGGGGGCTGTCCGACCAACAGAGACAGAACACTCTGGCCAGGGGCTGCAGACTGGATATGGAGGGAAAGCTAAGCTCTCCTGGTCTGGGGCATTAGTGATCGGCTGGATGTTCGTGCTGGTTACCTGCCACTGGTGGTTCTTCCTCATTCTCTCTCTTTTCCCCTCCCCAAAATGTGAAACCTGTTTCTACTCCATGCCTCTTCCTCTCCCTCTCTTCCTCGCTCACACCTCTTTTTCATGCTCACCCCTCCCCCTCTCTTTCTTTCACCCTTCCCCCTTTCTTCCCCTCTTCCCGGGGCAGTACCTCTGCTCCCCCAGTAGTATATAATGATCAGACTGAATGGAATGCTGAGTCTCCTGTGTTTCCAGACACAGGTCCAGGTCGAGATCCCGTGAGCGCAAGCGATCCAGGTCGAGGGAGCGTGGAGAACGCGGAGAACGCGGAGGAAGAGGCGGGCGGGGCGACCGAGACCGCGATCGGAGGCGATCCAAGGATCGGGAACGATCTGGGAGATTCTGAGCGAGACCCGATTCTCCCTAATGACTAGGACCACCGCAAGTACAGAGTGTGGCGGGAATTGTAATACTTTTTATGTTCCAAGTTCTGAATAAAACTTTTTTTGTTTCCTTGGGTTGTTCAGTGAAACTTTTTTTTAAAAAAGAAGCATAAAAACCGGTGCCCTTTTGCTATCTGGCATGCAGTACCGTTCCGTCCCATACCTATTACTGATCGTTTCTGGTTCATGTATGTGATTAAAATTTAATGTCATCTCCTTGAAGATATCCTGTTGCTTTCCAGCTTGTCCAGAATTTGCTTCCATTAGGCGTTTAAAATGATGTGTTTTTATTGTTGCTAAAACTATTTGTTTGAAAGGTATTTTTTTTAACAATGTGCTGGGCTGGGAAAGGCCTGTGTATGTGGGCTGCTCTACATCCCTATCCCTCTCTCTTTCCTTTTGGAGCGAGTAAACCCGGTTAGAATTGATCGAGACAGTTGCTCTTCCTGCAAAACATTTCCAGCTGCACACAAGCTTTGCTACAGAGCGTGTCGGCTGACACTTCTAATAATAATCCTGGCATTTGATATTGCGCCTTATATTGTTGAGACGTCTCAAAGCTCTTCACAGAATATACTGTAGAGTGGAGTAACTGTATTTTGTATGTGAAGGTGAAATGAGGCAGTCAATTGTGCACAGCAGTGTCCCACAAACCATTGTGCATTTTTTATTTTAATGGATTATTACCCCCCGGAAATTGATCCGCCAGTCGACTAACAACCGCTTTCCTGCTTACTGCTGGGTAAACAGAGGCGTGCGTGTGGAGTTAGGAAACTTGCCTAAGGTTTCGCCATGCCCGAGAATCAATCCTAGGTCCTCTCGCTTGCGACACGAGTGCTCTAACCACTACACTTGCAGGACTCCACAACACTTTCGCTTCCACATTGATCAATTGCTGTTACATTTCCACTTCTTCCGATACCAGTGGGGAATTGTTGAAGTGGTTTGTGCTACAGGGCTTTGCCTGGGCTGTAGGTTGCCTCATTCTGTGGCGTTGGCATTTAGATTCAGTACATATTTCCTTTCACTGCAAAGCCTGCTCACTCCGTGTCTTGTTCTGATCTACAGGGTGTTCATAAAGTCCTGTTAACTCCCCATGTTATTTCTCTACAGTGCATTGACCAACATCTGAAACATGGAAACGTGGAAGAATGATGATAATTGTATTCAGAAGTACTTAATTGTATTCGCCCACAAAATACATAGTCAATTCACTTTACAGTATATTCTGTGAAGTGCTTTGAGATGTCTGAACCATGTGAGAAGGCGCTTTATTAAATGCAAGGAGTATTATATTCTGTACAAGTGTTTAACTGTATTTAGAAGTCGAGAGGATGGGTGTGAGTGAGTGCCATCATTTTTACATGGTAGATAATGATCCGTCGCCATGTTCGGTGTGTCACATCATCCTTAACATGTGAGGAGGCGAAATGCATCTCTTGACAGCTTGTTTCAGCTCCTCTGTAGTCTCATTCAACCTTTTTTTTGTAACGGGGTAACATGACTTTGTAGACACCCTGTACGCTGCTGTGCCAGGGCCGTCACTATTTATTTAGTCCAGTCGTTAATTTGGGAATGGCGGAAAAGGTACGGCCGCTAGGTGTGGAGCTGGGTCAGTATGAAAGGCGTCTTCCTCCTCAAGCTGGTCATATAACAGAATTGAAAGCTGAGCAGCCCAAAAGGGGGAACGCCCTCAACAAACAAACGTTATGTGGCTGGAATAAAGGCTGGTAAACGCTGCGTGATGTGCGGGTTTGCATCTCTACCGGTTTGCTGTAGAAATGTATGTCACGGATCAGCTGTTTTTTTTTACCTGATTCTTTGTTTCAAAAGGGTCGCTTGTTAACGGACTTCTGGATTAAACAGATGATGAAACTGGATTGTGTCTTCCTTCATTTCGGGAGCAGCAAACAGTACATTTTTAAATGGGATTAAAACGCTTAAACCAGAGGAGACGGGGAGAGAGAAAGTCAAAACACATCCAGGAGAGAAGGAAATTGATGGGAAGAAATGTGTTCTGTCGAGGCAAGACCGTCCATCTTGTAATAATTACACTGAAGTTCTGCAGACCACTGCCTTGTACCATAAAACTCGCATAAGTCGTGTCAGTCGGCACCATAACGTTCAATGTGATTTCCGTGAAATCCGAGTTGCAGGCAAACTATAATTCATAAAATCTGATTTCATCAATAATCTACACAGCATATGTAATTTAATGCAGCCGGTAAGTAATTTGCAGGTAATGCAGCATGTGCAGTAATTTGTTGGAATGTGCATTGATGGATTAAGACAACATTTCCCTCGATTCAAATGGGTCTTCGCTTGCGCAATTGGAGTCCTGTAGCTCAGTGGTTAGAGCACTCGCTTTGCAAGCGAGAGACCTGAGTTCAATTCCAGGCAGAGGGCGAAACCTTGGGCAAGTTTCCTTACTCCACACGCCTAATAATAATCCCTCCAAAAAACCAAAAACAATAATTAAATTGGTCATTTTCAATCTACGACTGTTTGTGGGACATTGCTGTGCGCAATTGGCTGCCGCGTTCGCCCACAAATATACAGTCAATTCACTTTACAGTGTGTTCTGTGAAGCGCTTTGGGACGTCCTCCCGACGTGAAAAGCGCTATATCAAATGCAAGGATTATTATTATTATTATTACTTACCAACAAACGGATTCAATGCAGCTGGTTGGTAAGTGCGCGTGCGTCGAATGGTCAGGATTAAAGCCTCCCTGTAAGTGCGGTAGTAATGGAGGGTAGGGGAGCAGCGTTAAGAGGTGAGTAATACGAGTAGCGCAAATAAATGTAAAACACAAAATACTGCCAGATGCAAATAAATCTAAATGTTCTTGATAGGAAACTGAATGGGATTCGGATAAATGTACCACTCAGGCGTTTATACAATTTATAAGGGTAAGACTTAAGCGAGTTTTACTGTAATAGAGTGGAACCCAGTTATAACATGCTCTATCCTAACACAGGTTTGCTGAATGCAGGTGCTCTGGTTTTTGCGACCAGCTTCAACACTATGCACAGGAAGTGACATGCATAACCCAGCCCTTGTGTCTATAGCGCTGCTTGTGTATTTCAAGGCTAGTGGGTTTCTGCACGCAGTCATGTACTGGGAGTCTGCTTGGGTTACAACACTTATATTATGTTTATGCCCGACTTGTATTTTCTTCGCATGGGGAATGGTTCACCTGACTGAGGTTGTTGCACGTCTTCTGCTCCCAAGTTGTCCTGTTCGTGATCAGGCGCTATATCAAATGCAAAGATTATTATTAACCAGCCTTGTGCAAGCGATTCTATCTTCCTTATAATAACAGTAAGCCTTGCCTTTGGTATAGAGCCTTATCGCTTCTCAAAGCACTTTACAGAATATACTGCAAAGTGGATTGACGGTATATTTTGTGGGTGAACCGCAGGAGCCAATTGCGCATAGCGGTGTCCCACAAACAGCCATGGAGTGAGGACCATTTTTTTTTGAGGGATTGCTACCCCGGAATGCGATCCGCCGATCGACTAACAAGCGGGTTCTTACTTACTGCTGCGTAAACAGACGTGTGGAGTAAAGAAACTTGCCTAAGTTTGGCAACTTTGGCCCGGCCCAGGAATCAAACCTGGGTCCTCTCGCTTGCGAGGTGAGTATGTTAACCAATACACTAGAGGACTCTACGTACATTACAGGATGCCTTCTTTGCTCAGTGCTCGCTCATTGTCTGCTTACAGTAACTTTCAATCGCCCATAATTCCTGCGCTTATATAAAGATTCTATTTCAGGACTTGACCTGAGGTACGTTCGCAGATTTTACTGGGATTTTAGGTTACTTTCAGCATGTCGTGTTGGATGCCTGCCTGCCAGTGCCAAGATTTCTAACTCCACTGTGCCTTATCTCAAGAACTCTGTGTGCTTTAGTGGGTTGGATCTGCTGGTCCAATTGCTGCTGGCTATGTTTATGTACATTTGTCCACACTGCACGCATGTACATTCATTAACTCATTGCCCAATTCAACTGTTAATAGCATTGTCAGCGACTGCTGGGCTGACAGGTTTTAAACTCGCTTCTTGAGAAAAGTCTCCATGCAGTTGAGTTTCTGAAGTTGTAAGAATTAAATTTTGGAACACACCCTGTAGTGAATGCTAATTATCAAGCCTTTTCATACTTTCTTGGGTGCAGAAGACATTTAAGTCTGTAGCTGTCGGGCCTGTTATCTGCTTGACTGAGTCCCTGGCTCCTGAGGGATTCAGCTGTTGAAGTACTTGGTGTTCTCATTGCTGACATGTTGGCAGGGCATGTGTGGCAACATTGCAACAGACTACAAGAATAACACTGTAATCTCAATAATAATTAATTGTAAGCAGCACCACACATTACTGGATTTCAATTCCCCCCAAAATCCTGGTAAAAATCAGCTCAATCCTTGTAAAGCAGCTGCAGATTTTGGGGCTCACGCAAAATCTGCAGCAACCGCCCTAAGGTGGCCGGGCCTTCAGCCTCTCAGCCCCGAGGCTCTGGAACTCTATCCCCCAGTGCCTTCGCCGCTTCCTCCCTTTCCTCCTTCAAGGCCGGTCTCAAGACCTTTCTCTTTGACCGTGCCTTCACCTCCCCTCTCGACTCTCTACCCCCTCCTCGCTCCCTCCCCTCACCCTGACCATTTCCCCCCTGCTCAGGTCCCGACCCAACTGTCCAGCGCTTTGGGACGTCCTCCCGAAGTGAAAGGCGCTCTATGAATGGAATCTTCTTGTTGATTTATCGTTTCATCCGAAGGACTAATGCGGGTGTAGGAGGCACACACTAGTTTATGTCTGTCCTGGGCATGCTACAGGAGCAATGCAAGAGTTCACACGTCAGTCAGCAGGTGTGTTATAATAGTCATTCATGAGTTTACACGTGCCGGTAGGTGAGAACAAGAGGTTACTTTGCAAGTCTTCACTGCTCTGGTGGGTCCAGATGAATAAACTATCCAGTGTTCAGGTGCTCGAACAGTTAAATTCTCCGACGCTGCCAGCATTGCATTATTGTACTTGCTGCTGCCCCATATCCACTGCAGCATCGTACAGGTGCATGTGT